CTGGCCTGCACAGAGTCCTGACCTCAACCCGATAGAACACCTTTGGGATGAATTAGAGCGGAGACTGAGAGCCAGGCCTTCTCGTCCAACATCAGTGTGCAACCTCACAAATGCGCTTCTGGAAGAATGGTCAAAAATTCCCATAAACACACTCCTAAACCTTGTGGACAGCCTTCCCAGAAGAGTTGAAGCTGTTCTAGCTGCAAAGGGTGGACCGATGTCATATTGAACCCCATGGATTAGGAACGGGATGTCACTTAAGCTCATATGTGAGTCAAGGCAGGTGAGCAAATACTTTTGGCAATATAGTGTAGGCATTATTAAGAAAGATTATTCTCCATCTGTCTGTTCCCTTCCCAATTTTAGCGCATGCTTAGCATTGTTAAACCTGTCTTGAACACTGTTGATAAGCTGAGCAGCCGATCAACATTCCCTCCTTATTGAAGAGAAGCTTTTATTCTTTCCTCTCAGGAAATAAGAGCCCAGCTTTAGAGAGGTCTGTCCTTCTTATAAGCCTTATAGCTCAAATTTATAAGTCTTATTCTGAAAAATAAAACAACCACCTACAACTGTCTATAAAACATACACATTAAAATATGCTTCACACTATGTCCTTTAGAGCTCAGCTCAAAGAAACTGCGGTTTCTCCCTACTTCGTGCTGAATGTTTCACCAAATGGTTTAAAGATTTAACTTGGGTGCTAAACTCTAATTCCCTGCACTAGAATCACATCTATAACTATTACACCATGGGGATTAAATAATTTATTTAAAAGGGAATCTAATTTTAAAGATTGTGCAGAAAATAAGTGACCTGATTAAATAAGTTGGGTATTCTATTAATAGATAAAAGCCTGATATTGGCTGCTGGAATGAATGATATATATTAAAGAAAGAAGCAAAATGTAGGAAACAGATGCAGAAACTGAAATCTATCTCCCAGTCTCTCTGTCAGCGCTGTTTCCTTTTAATGAAAACACATTTAAATGAGTTGAAGTTCCTCTGCAGCAGATTGAGCTAAATTACACTGTAATTAATTCTTACTTTTACTTGATTGAAGACTGTCTCTCTCTTAAGTGAGTAAAAGAGGGACTCAAAATATAACAATACGTCTGGCTTTAAAAAGAAGACAGAATGAAACCACTGAAAATAAGGTTTTTGTTTTAAATCAGACACAAATTACTTCAAGAGACGGATGTTTTAGAGGCTAAATGAAGCCGTCCAGCTCAGTCGAAAACACACAGCAGATGACGCACAGACAAAAAGTCTGGTTTGATTGAGTTTCAGAAGCCAGACGATTATTCCAGCAAAGTGTGTTTGATTGATAAAGTATGATTCTGTCTTTTCATAAATCTCATCAGGCTTATGATTTTGGGCCATTCTCTGAGAGGACAATGCAATAATAGGTCTAATTTTATATTCACTGAGCCGGCGGGAGCTATTCAGGAGCACACTGAATGGATAACATGGTATTATTATGTGTGATAATGTAGTTTTTATGCACCGAACAGATGGCTTTAGTGGAAGGCAGAAAATGTGCAGCTGATGGAGTAGAGTAAAATGCTAAGGTAAAAACATTTGAACAGCTATGGAAGCCGTAGATTTATACCGGACACATCCTTATGAGAGCTTAGCAGTCAGAGCATTTAAATAAGTTAAACTGCTCTGATACTGTTGCTATGCAGGACTTAGTAAAAATTTAAAATATTTATTTTCTACACCCTGAGATGTAAAAGGAATCAGAAAGAGACAGAAAGATTGTGTAAAGCAGAGATAAATGAAGCAGATTGATCGAAATAAAGCTTTTAAAACCTGTTTATAAACGTGCACCCAGGAGATCAGGAGTCAAACAATAAAAGAAACCGACGATAATTAAATAAAAATGACTTTTTTCTAAAATGAAGAATAACTGAAAGCTCTGATGGAGACAAAAGTCAGTGAATCTTGAGCACCTTCTAGAGGCGGAAGAGATAATAACAGTTGAAAAAGAAATTGATGTTTGGATGTTCTTCATGGCTGAACTCAGACAGACATGGAGATGGAGATGGAAAATATGTTGTTTTTATCATTTTATTCATTTTATATTGCTCTCAATCATTTGTTTTTCTATGTGTTACTCTCATCGTTGGAAATAGTGTATGAAGGTCATAAGACAGTCAAATGTTTTGCAAGAATGCTTTCCTGTTTTTCATTTGAGAAGCAGAAAAGTGAAAAGTCATAACCCCGACACCTTGTGTAGAGTGTATACTGAAACCAGGCAAGTTCCCTGTCTTAAAAGTTCCTGCTATGTCTAAGAGACTGCGTAATCGAAACTAACGCCTGCTGTTGTAATGTGTTGACTGCTCAATAAAAAGCCCGGCAAGTGTTGAGCCAAGCGGAGATGCAGAGATTGATGGTTTAACTCTGGACTCCTCTTTGCAAAGCATTTCAGGAAAAATCTTACGCTGTCTTTGTTTCCATTTTTTATAGGTTAAAGTTAGGGAAACTTAACAGCCCTAACAATAACTTAGCCTCGTGAGACCATCCTGATCTCGCAAGCTTTCAAGGTTTCACTCGCTAATCAGTCTGGAGACTCTCCGTTAAAGAAAATTTGGAGCCGTTCACCATACGAACGTCCAATCAGCGTTGGCTTTGAGGCGGGTTGAGGTGTGACGCAACGAGAAGCGCAACAGTTCAGTCTAAAGAACATGGCGGCTGCAGACGATGAAACTAGCGTTAGCGTGGCTATCGAGCAAGTTTTATCGGAATTACAGAGTATTTCTTCACTGAAAGAAGAGCAAAACACTGCTCTGGAGGCTTTTCTCAGAGGAAAAGATGTTTTTGCTCTTCTCCCGACTGGTTTCGCCAAGAGTAGCCTGGCTGTTAGTACGTCATATGCTTCGTTGATCTGATTGGTTTATTTGGCCCGTCTATCACAAACATAGGCCAATCAGCTAACCAGTATTTTCGCCCCTTACCAAAATCACTTCAACCGAAGGTTTCCAGATGGATATGCGGAGCAAATCCATCTGGCGGAGTCAGGTTAACAATAGCTGACCTTCTTTAAATGATTTCAAGCCTCCAAAACTTTAAATAAACACAAAAAACAACATCTGAGAGTTTTAGATTGTTGATCAGAATACTGGTTTACATAATTAATAACAAAAAATGTATTTCTAAATAAAACAAACTGAAACAAACGGCCCGAGTACCCAGAGGTGAGTAGTTATTAGTTATATCAAATTAACACAAAAATAAAAAAAATGACAACTTTTAGGACAACTTTACTGTAATTTTTACTTTCAGTTTAGTAATACTCTTGGGAGCAATTTGCTTCATAGGTACTATACGTGATTACTCTACCAAGCTAGAAGGCAGTGAGGAGTGTAGAGAGCTGTGCTGCAGTGTTTGTGTCTCCAAGCTGAAACACCAGTGGACCCAGTTCACAGCAGAACTGACAGCATCTACGCACGGCTCAGCGTAGGCTCTCCGGCTCTCCGGCCCTCTATGACCTCATTTTCTATGTGCTCCTGAAACACCTCTGCCCTGTTCAGACAGATTCTATCATTTCTATCAGAGCAGTCGTCCTGAGCTCTCTGGAGGACGGAGCCTTTAAACTGATGTGTCTCATTTCCGGTCTACTGACGGTACCAATTACCCTCTGGAAACACTTTGAGGTTATCTCTACAACATTTCTGACTCTTTTGTTTTTTCCTTTACCACAGGGTCACGCTTTTCTTTAATTCCTCCCTTTTTCCCCTGAATGTTCATTGGTTCACTGTTCTTCCCATCAAACCCTATTACCACCTATTTGATCATTGATATTATCTTGTCTTTGGATGTAGCAACATCTGCACTCGTCTGTTAGTAGAATGCAGCACTGACATCAATCTACACTGTCAAGAAATTAAATCTAAGTTAGTCAATTTTTTTTTTAAATAACATAATTTTTTCTTGAATTAAGCAGGCAAGTGATACACTTTGCCAATGGAATAAGGGCATTTAAATTTAAAACAAGAAAAAAAAAACTGCAGTCTCTTATAAGTATTTTATACTTATTTTAAAGGCATACTATGCAACATTTTTCAGTTAATTAATGTGTTCCATAACGTTTTGGATGATTAAATGAGTCATTTCAGGTCGAACAAAGGTTTTCTCGGCCGCCCTGGTGGTCTGTAGGGGAAATACCTTATTTGTAATTGCAGGAGCCCTCGGCCCGCACCCACAGGCTTAGAAGTCTCGTGCATCGCGAGAGTCGGTCTTGCTTTACGGCAAGAACTGCTACACACCCTCAGTTGCTAGCACAGTGGCGATATTTGTGCAGTTATCATGGCGGAACCAGCGTGAAAACAGCGAAAGCCCATGTCGGAGCAGGCAAGAAAGAGGAAAAGGGTTCTGGACAGAGAGAGGAGTCGTACATGGGTGAACATCGGGCAAGCTTTTTCCGAATGGTGAGAGCTAAAAGAAAAAGAAGGCTGCAAGGCTGACGCGGACCTCGCGTTTCTGCTGATGCGATTATAAGTAACATTGGAATGGTTTCTCTCTCTCTCTGTGTGCATGTTCATACTTTCACTGTGTTAGTCATTTGTTGCGTTCGCCTGTCTGCTAAGCTTAAAACAACCGCGCCTGGCTTGACGGAGAAACCAGGAGAACAGCTGAGCATATTTACGACAGTCCGCTTTTACTTTCGCCCTCTGGGGGGAGCCTCGCTGGAAAATCAACACCGGTTGCATAGTATACCTTTAACTGTAAAACTGCTCATTCCATTGGCATCGTCTTATTTACCAGCTCTCATTAAGGGTAAATACATTTAATTTAACACATTTTACTCATTTTTAGATTTTTTTTCTGCAGTGTATCCATCCACCGTTTACCTTAACCTCAGTGACAAGGTCATTGAGGTAACATCTTACCTTTTTATTGGAAAAATACACACGTTCTAACACACACACACACACGTTGTAACTGTTGAAACAAGGAAAGAGACCTTACAGCTGATGCTGTCAAAGATTTGCCTCTTACCTGGGAAACCTGCCTCATTAACTCCCTCCATGTTTTATCCACGGTTTTGAAGCTGAGTCCCTCCTCTGGCATCTGCCCCATGATGTCTGGGGAGCTAAAGATGGGCTCCAGGCAGAGCCAGTTGGTCTGCATCTTTAACCACTCGTCCAGGATCTCCTGCAGGAGCAGCAGCTTGGCCTCCCACTCTCTGAAAAAACAAACAGAAAGCAGCAGTAACATGAAACCCAAAGCTCTGCACCAGATTCATCCTGCTCAGAAGCCGTACTGGCAGATCATAGAACGGTAACCAAAACCTTTGAAAACCCTTTTTGTTTCTCACCGTATCTTCTCCTCAAAAGGCTTGTTGAAAGGCGAGCCCTTCATGGTTTGTGTTTTCACAGTTTGATCATCCATTAGCAGCTGGACCTCCTCCACAGAGGACAGGATGAAGGTCCCTGTTTCTCGATGCGCCATCAGGCTGAACTTCATGTCACGCCACTCGCTGTACATCTTCTCCAGGGCTTTCTCCAGAGAGTGCTCCTTGCTGGCCAACTCGCTGATGCTGTTAAAGCTGCTCAGATGTGTCTCCAGCCCCCTGTCCAGGTACTGAGCCACGCATGTCTTCTCATTGATGGGGTGCAGAGGAAACCCAACCAGCTCGGACATGGCGTCCCAGTGGCGCGTGCGCAGGCCTGGGTTGCACAACACCTACAAACCCCAGATATTCCCAACAACAGTGATTTTAAACTATTAGTGAACAAGAACATCAGGATAGGGTTTTATTAGACTCCTGATCTTTACCTGCACCATGGGAACGAGCTCCTTAAAGCCCTCCACTTTAGCCTTCACAGCGGTGGCTATCCTCAGGGCATTGGGCGCCTCACTGAAGCTTTTCTCCAGCTTGTATAAAGTCCGCCAGTGGTTTTCAATGTCAGCTTCCACCTGCAGATGCAGAACTATATTTTCCTTATTCCTATTAAAATGATTTATATCTAAAGCATGAAAAGGATTGTATTTTAACCTGGTACCACGTTACTGTAACTGTAAATGGATGGCACAAGATATGGGATTTAAAGTAAAATGATCCTTTAGACACAAGACTTTAAGTTCAGATTCATAATAATAATAAATTGTAGTATTGTTGAGAGATTTTTATGCGAGTATGACAAGGAATATTTGCTACACTGTAAAAACGATCTAGAACGAAGTAAAAACTTCTTAAATTAAGTATATTTAGCATTAGTTTGAGTAGGTAAATCAGATGATCTGCCAATGTAGTGAGTATGTTTACTCTTCAAATAAGAAAATTAGATAATATTCACTTGAAATAAGACAATGCAGTTACTTTTTCTTTCTTTTAAGTGTAAATTGTCTTATTCCATTGGCAAAGAGTATGGAAGTAAATCTATGTCGCTGGGATTTGAATTAAAAATGCCACTGAAATTTAAATGTATGTCTGTACTTACTGTTTCAGTGTTAAAATATATTCAGAACACATTTTTGACCTAAAAAAAAAAATCATTGTCATTATTTCTACACAGTTGAAATTTCATTTATTTTCTCTTCAAGCTAAAAATTCACATTACTATTTCAAAGTGATTACATTTTCAATACTTATTTTTCTGTTAAATTTTTCAGTGTTAAAAAAATCTGCATATAAAAAATTTCAATCTTTCAAAATTCAAACTCAATATTTTCAGCCTCCTGAGATTCAACTGGCTCTATTTCACTGTCTTAAATTCGGCGTCTAAATTCAGTGTAAAAAGGGAAGGGTTACTTCAGGTCACAGACATTAGCGATGGATTGTGGCGTCCAACACCCAGCCAATCCCGTTATGTTTTCTTAGTCACGTGACGTGACGCTGGTGGCACTCATACGGAAGGAAAACCAGCATGACGGAGCCGGTCATGCAAGCTAACACTAACTCATTGGTGAGTTTATTACTTTCATTTTCTGTGGTTGAGTTAGCGTCACGTCTCACTTACCTCCTCAATTCAAGAAAAAATGCACTTATGTTAAGAACAAAAATGACTTATTGAGATTTCATTTTTTGCAGTGTATTTATATCTTAAATATTATATGGAAAAACATTAGAGAAACATTTGAAAAATGCAAAAGTTGAACCATGTCAGATATTTAATTTTTTGATTGAGATTTTTGCCTGAAAGTAGCTTGGTTTATTTTATGGTCACATTTGGAAAAAAAAAAAGCATGACCAATATATTTGCATGCAATTGGGGGAACTAGAAATGAATAAAGAAAATATATGAATAAATCCAGCTAACTTGACAGAGAACATATTTTTTTAAAAGAACCGGAGCAAACAGAGCTGTGGGATGATCCACTGGTTTCTTTTCTATTCTAATTCATTCTCTGACTGGTTTCCTCAGGTTTCAGCAGGTTTTTAGTACACTGATGAGCCAGTGCTGGCTGCTCTGCTGTATTTAATGCTTGCTATGGTGCTGCTGCTGCTGGGAGGAACAAGAAATGGTTGCTTAGGTGAGCAGTTTCCTAATCAAAGCTTTAACAAAGACAGTGGCGCATGGTGGGAGGGAGGAATGTTTCTGTTTGAGCCATGGCAATCCGTCCGTCCGTCTATCCGCCCATCATGGTGCATTGTGTCACTTTTCTTCTAATAACTTTTATACTTGTTGTCTAGATTTTCACCACATTCCAAATAAAAAAAAAACATCTTGTTTGTAGTATTTACCAGTAAAAAGGGTTGCAAAAACAACAAAAATGCCATTTTCAGACCCCAAACAGCTCAAATAAATCAATGTTGATGCCAGGTATTAATTGTTGTGATGGACTCTTTCTCTGGTTTAATCTGTGCATTTTTTGACTTAACTTCCTCCCAGCAAAAGTTTAAATCAAAGTAAGTAATTTTTTCTTGAAATAAGTGTATTTTCCCTTAACTTGAGCAGCGAAGTACAATTTGCCAAAGTGATAATATGATTTACAATTGAAATAAGAAAAGAAAAAACTCCACCATCTTGTATCAAGTGCATAATATAAAATTATTATGATCTTGGTTCAATTGGCAGCTCATCTAATCCACCTGATGAAATTCAGGACAAATAGATCTATTCTACAACATCATTACTTACTTTTAGATTGTTTCATTACCACAGCAGGACTCAGGCTGCAGTCCAGCCACCAATTTAACCTCCTGACATCACTTTATATGTGAGCATTTTGCAGAGTTAATATTTCTGCAGATGTTTATGAGAACAAATCAATGCAAACTGGATCATAAAGTGACTTAAAGAAGCAGAGCCAAGATAGTTGTGTTTGATTTGAAATAAGCTTTCTGGTTTAACTGCTGATGGTTTTAATGAGTTTAACTGAATGCTAGTTCTTACTGAACATACTGAATGGCTAGCATTGTTAGCTCCCAGCTATCGTTCCTTTGTTTCAGCTGGACCCGTCCGGACCAGACCCCCTGGGACCAGCTAAGCTAACCCATTTCTCTTTCAGCCTAATCACAGTTTAATCCATTCCTGAGTCATTATTCATTTTTCAATATAAAAACCAAATAAAACTTCACTGTTTTGAATGCAGTAAACATCTCTGCATCAGGGTTTATTCATATTTATCTGCTACTGTTTTAAAGAACACTTTCCGTGCATAAAGCCCTGAAACCTGAACATTCCTCAGACTTTGAACCGACTCTTAAACCCCTTTCCCCTTTCATTTGTTTGTTTTTGCTTTTTTATAGTAATGTTTAGTACCTGTGCTGCTATTAGAAATAATAATACTGTGTAATTGTAGCTAATAAAGATACCATTGTATTCTTAACACGTGGTCTTTTGCGTTTATTTTATGCAACGGTTTATCTTCTTTTAGTAGCATCCGAACGAACACACACACACTTATTTGGATGATGATTAATAACTCTGCTGACAGCCATAATCTAAATGACTAAATTTGTGAAAGACAACTAAATGTTTAAAGCAGTAACATAGGGTTGTTGCAAATTCATAAAAAGAGACCGCCCTCTCCACTTTAAAAAGAAAATGTACATGCACAACCTTGTACCCTTTCCAGAGAGGGAACGGCTATTAAACACGTGCAAGATCTTGCATGAGTCCCTTTCTCCTCGTGCACGCTCTGTTTAAAAGTTTCTGTTTGCATCGCTCCTACAAGTTTACTTTCCAAAAGGAGATTTGCAATTTTTCTACTATGTCAGACTCGCAAGACTCGGAAAATGGGGATGGGCATGTAAATGGCATGTACTTATATAGCACCAAAGTGCTTTACATTACATTCATTCACCAATTCACTCACACACTGATGGTGGCAAGCTACATTGTAGCCACAGCTGCCCTGGGGCTCACTGACAGAAGCGGGGCTGCCGTACACTGGGGCCACCAGGCCCTCTGACCATCATCAGTAGACAATGCAGGGGAAGTGTCTTGCCCAAGGACACAACGACGCTGAAAGTCGGAGTCGGGGCTTGAACCGTCAACCCTTCGATTTCAGGGCAAACTCCTACATCCAACACCACTTTCACCCGTACGTAAACATTTCACCAGAATGATTAACAATTAGAATTAATAATCTTTTTTTCCTTCCAGCTTTTCATTGTCATTACATTGTCACAAGTACAATGCAACGAAATTAACTCTCTGCATTTAACCCATCCCCCTGGGTAGCAGTGGGCTCCCATTTTGCTGCGCCCAAGGAGCAGTGTGGGTGGTAAGGGTCTTTGCTCAGGCATCCAGAGGCAGTCTGTGGGTGTGGGGCTACAACTCAGAACCTCTGGATTCCAAGCTCTATGCCTTAACCACTACGCCGCCACTCCCCCGTATTAGGAGGACCACTTATTTAGATGATCCACCCGGAAAAACACTGGAAATAAACCATATTTGTTCAAAACTGATAGTAAAATATATAAATCATATAAATAATATTGGTTTTTCCTCTCCACTGTCGCTACAACCATGCTTAATGTGAGGGTTTGCATTCGAGTCAATGAGTCGAAATGAATCAACTAGTTTTCCTTAGATGGAAAACTTTGAATGAATCTGACTGGATGATCTGGTGAACTGGAAAGTGCCTTGAGATGACATGTGCTGTGAATTGCGCTATAGAAATAAACTGAATTGGATAAAATTAATATATAAAAATATAGAAATACATAAATAATATAGAAAAAAGATCAGCACCGACATAAATAGAACTGACAATATTAGATGTTCAGCTTTGATCATAATGAAGATGCAATCTTCTTTCCACTTTCTGTACCTTATCTGGGTTGACAGCAGAGAGGGGCCCATGGAGCCACTGTTCATGGCTTCTCAAGAAGTCAGAGGCTGTCTCATAGAGGCGTAGAAATGGTGTCAGCCTCTCCTGGGTCTGTGTCCACTGGGGATACTGGGACACAGGCCAGCCGAAGGCCTCCTCCTCCAGATTAAACTGGTTAATCTTTTGCAGGCAGGACAAATGAAAAAGGCAAAGCAGTAAACTCAGAAAAGAACAATAACAAACAGATAAAAAAAAAAAAATCTAAGATATCTCCAATGATAAAAAAGTTATTTTAGATCCAATGCTGCCCTCTGGTGGTAGAAGTGCTGTAATAAAAACACTGTGTAAATGCATTCGAAATGTCCCTTCCCATCCGAATGGCAGCCAACTTCCAGCCACTGGAGTGACCCCTCCTTCTCCTGGTCAAGCTTATTTTTTTACTCTGACTCCCCTCTTTCACTGAATTACAGGGTCTGACCAGGAGATGATGCATCTCTTTAGATCTTAATGTCCACAAATCATGACAGAAAGAATATTTTAGAACAAAGATGGATTGTTTAAAGATTGTTTAAAAAAGGAATTGTTTAAAAAAGGAATCCAGACATTTGAATTGAGAAAGCTTCCTGGAGAGGTGGCGAAACGTCTTCAAATCTTGAAAACCAAGTCCAGTGGATATTTTTTGAATTTTTACGGAATGACTATGACCTGGATGACTGAGAACCTTCATCAGCGCCAGCCAAGGACCAGCCAAGGACCAGCCAAGAACCAGCCAAGGACCAGCCAAGAACCAGCCAAGGACCCATCAAGGAAAGTAGGGACATTTTGAATGGCTATTACTGTAAGACCTGCATGGTTTCACACAGTGAGCTCAGACTTTACCTTCTCTCTGTCCAATTCCAGCCTTGCATTAAGGTCCCTTGCATGCGTCAAATACTCGTTGAGATCCAACAGGTAATCGTAACCAAGAAACGTCTCAATCTCCAAGCTGTAGCTTTCCAGTTTCTTTGTGAATTCCACCCGTTCTGCCTGCAATGTTTCAATTACAAAGGCATGTTTTTATTTCCCAGCAAACAACAGCTTAGTAAATCACCTTAACCTCAGATTGTTCCTCAGCTGCAAACAGTAAGGAGTCACAGGCGAACCACCGACCTTGAGAGCAACCTGGAAACACTCCGTCTTCTCTTCAACGATCTGCTGGTGTTGCTCTAATATTGACGGCATATGCTGGAACCAGTGTACGGTTTGGTTGTGGAGCTGCTTGTGCTCCGGCGAAAGAGTCGCAATGTCTGACAGAGAACACAGCAGTCTTTTGGAGTCAGCCAGCCGCTGACCCAGAAGAGGTATCTCTGTGGCCCAAATCTTCTTAATGGAGCTCTGCACAGAGATGCACAGGAACCAGGAGAACATTAAATCATTATTAAGCATCAGAATCACAATTCCTTTATGTAGATATTGAATATAGCAGCTCACATAAGCAGAAAGAAAACAAAATTACAAAACGAAGAGACTATACAACTTGAGAGTATAAAAAGATTTTCCGGGGTTTTGCTTGACTACAGTGCAGCAAAACTGAGCCGTGAGTTCCGGGGCTGGTCAGGGTTGGGGACAGAGCGACCGAACCCAGGCGGGGGCGAAGCATACCGTCACCGGGTCGGGTTCGGTCACTCCGTCCCCGGCCGCCGGGGCTCCCGGAGCAGCCCCAGAGCTCAAGGTTCGGTCCCAATGCCCGGTGCGGTCCGGTCAGCGGTCCCAGCAACCCCCCCAAAAAAGTCTCATCTTTTCAGAAACCCAAATCTGGTCACCATAGGTGTGAACGAAGCATAACAGCAGCTAGCTTCCAGTCATGGCGTGCTACACGACCATTGGTGGGGTCAATTCGTTCATGTGTCAGGGTAAGCAGGACAGGCAGACGACCATGTTTGACGTGTCATGGAAGCAGTCGTGTACAACGGGCAGTCTTTTGTGAATGGTTGGGGTTATTCATTGATTTCTCACTGTAGCGGGGACCATTTATTTTAGTTTCACTGCCAGACCTTTTATTTCACTGCTTGCTAAGCGGCTGTGTGGATATCTTGAATCTTTACCACATGGTAAAAAAGGTGTCAGAAAAGATCTCCTACTGCACCTTTAAGAGTCACATGTATAACATTAAATAGGGTTAGAAAACACACAAGGAAGTCAATCGGCAATGCTAATTTCATTGGACAGGATGAATCTCAGTGGGAGGTTGTCCTTGTTTTGGCAGGACTCATAAGTTTGATCGCACTGGTTTCCTCATGCAATGGTGATTAGAGATTCATTTTTTTCCAGTGAGTTATCAAGCTCTTGAGACCATTTATTCAGAACTGCAGATTGTTCATCAAAATTTTCAGCGCGGAACAAAATTCTCAAAATTTTAATGCACGTCAAAACTGTTCTCATTTCAAACTCATTATCATTTCAAACAATCATATCACAGCTGCCCAAAAGAACAAATAAAAAGTGTTTAAGGTATTGTTTGTGCATTTGGTAGTGTTTGTGAATACTTCCTTAGGCCTAACATATTTAGTCCCGTTGACAGTAATAGTGATTTTTTTTTAAAAGCGGGTTGTGTGTGACCCCTTATAATATTTCAATGGAATAAACATAATTTATAGTCATTAATAGGCAAAAGTTCATTCATTCGTGCTACAGGAAATTATTTTTTAGAAAAAAATTCAAAAACTCATCACCCTAATGGAGATACATGCTCCCTAAAACCAGACACCAAAGATATAAACGTTCCTTTCAGCTCTAGTTTGATGATTTTAGGTCTTTAAAGTACCTTTTTTTACTGAGTGATTGTTTCTACTACTCACTACCTGGACTTTTTACTTTTTACCACGATTTTGTTTCTCTTTTTTTAAAAGGCAGAGGCGTATTTACCCACTGGACACTGTTATCAATTGGATATCTGTTTGTCGTTTAGATAGAGAAACAGCTGTTTATGAACTGAACCAAACGATATGAAGAAATCACCTTTAGCTCCGTCATTGTCAGAGTATCAGCTGGGGGACTCAGAGCCTTCTCTGAAATCTTCTCAAAATCAGTGCAGAGCCTGTTTGAATGAGAAAGGATCTTTATTCTAGTGAAATGTGGGAAGGACCTCGGCGCTGGAAGCAGAAATATCACTGCTTCTAATTCTCCATTTCCTGTTTTGTTTTCTTTCTTTTACAAACTGGATGTTTAACTTAGTTTAAAGTCTACTAAAATCAACTTTCATATTAACAGTCAAAACCAACGAACCTTCTGTTGATCCCCTGATGGTCCTGTAACATCTTTGTCGTCAGTTTCTGATTCAGCTCCTGAGCACGTTCGACCAGAGAGCCGAGGAGTCGGTGGGAGTGCACCTCAAACATGCTGAGCCGAACTACCTAAGGTCCAGAACATCAGCACACATCGATCAGACTAAATCGTTCTATTCCAAGGGTTTAAAGAACATAGAAAAAATGAAATTGCGCAGCTTTTACACTTTCTACATTTTTATGGTACTTTAATAGAAAATGTTCTAAATTACCATTTTGAGAGCCAGAAGTTTATTGAACTATCATTACCCATTCCAGGTAGGCAATAAAAAGTTCTACTGGATTCACTTTGTATTAGTCTTTTTCCTGCTTCACAAAGGTAGGCAGCAGCTTGATAAAGCCATGATGGCAATTATTTTACATCCAAGTAGAATGCAGTTATTCATATATACACACACATCAATTTCAAACAGATGGTATCGGTATGGTATATGTATCGGCCAATACTGCACAGTCAGGTATCGGCAGAAAAAATGACACCAAAGAATAGTGAACAACTTATTAAAATCAGACTATAAATAAAGTACATGATAAAATGGTGCTGTTATACAACAGCTATAGTTCATTGACCTGACTCCGCCAGATGGATTTGCTTCGCATATTCATCTGGAAACCTTCCGTTGAAGTAATTTTGGGAAGGGGCGAAAATACTAGTTAGCTGATTGGCCTATGTTGGTGATAGATGGGCCAAATAAACCAATCAGACCAACGAAGCATATAATGCACTAACAGAGCGACAACGAAAACACAACCACAAGCCAGGCTACTCTTGCTGAAACCAGTCGGGAGAAGAGCAAACACATCTTTTCCTCTGAGAAAAGCCTCCAGAGCAGTGTTTTTCTCTTCTTTCAGTGAAGATATACTCTGTAATTCCGATAAAACTTGCTCGATAGCCACGCTAACGCTAGTTTCATCGGCTGAAGCCGCCATGTTCTTTAGACTGAACTGTCGCGCTTCTCGTTGCGTCACACCTCAACCCGCCTCAAAGCCAACGCTGATTGGACGTTCGTTTGGTGAACGGCTCCAAATTTTCTTTAACGGAGAGTCTCCAGACTGATCTGCGAGTGAAACCTTGAAAGCTTGCGAGATCAGGATGGTCTCACGAGGCTAATAGTTCATAGCTCTGGCCAAAAATCTGAGCCTCAGTTTATCTAAGATCATCATGAAAGTTTAAAGGTCTTTATGTAAATCTATCTGACCATCCTTTAGTAGGGGAGTGTGGCCTAGTGGTTAGGGAATTGGGCTTGATACTGTCATTGGAAAACATGCGGTAATTTCAAAATGTTTTAAATCAGGTTGGATCCGGATTAGCCAGCAGGTGGGTCCGTATACGGACCCTGTTCCGCTACTCCATGACCTCTGATCTAAGTTTACACCACCTTGACACCCCCTCATACCCCAAGTGTATGTTTTGTACATTTGTTGAACATAGTGGATAAGTCCTACACATATCTGAAAACAGATACAGCTGTAACCTACAGAGTGAAAGTGCTCCTGTTCTTACCGGGGATGATGTGAACTTAATCTCATTAGCAAGCTTCTGATAGTAGATTGCCTCTTCCATGATCTCATGGAAGGGTTTCTGTTGACTGAGGAAATGCTGCACCTTCTCCTCTGCCTTCCCGGTCACCAGCATGGCATACTGGTCATACTGGTGGATGTACTCTTTGGGTCGTATTGTCTCAGCCCAGAAAGCCCTGCGTACCTCCTCCTGCTGGGCTTGTATGATCTCTGGAAGGATGATGGGCTTCAAAGCTTTGCCAAATAAAAATTCTTCCTGAGAGGAAGAAAAAATAGGGAAGAACTCAGGCTTGACTCAAACAATGTCCCCAAGAACTCCTAATTTTATCAAAATGGTTTGTTTTAGAGTAGTTCATTCAGAGAGGATCATTAAAATAAAAAACAAAACAAAATTAAACTGTGATGTTTTATTTACAGCTAACAGCAGATTCTGAAATTAACCCCTTAAGCCCAGAGGGTCTTAGGAGCAAATTCCGGCTGAAATTACATATGATTAAAGCAAATACATCTCCCAAACTATAAATTGGAAATACAACCGTGCGTTTTTTATAACAGAAAAGCATTGAGAAATATTTTTCAGGTGAAACCACTATTTTAAGTGTCACTATGTCTGATTTATAGGTGATTAAACAAAGAAAAAAAGAAGAAAAAAAATCCTCGATTCCTCCAAGAAAGCCCATTTGAAACCCTCAGACGTTATAGATTCACATCTTGACTATAACTCAATCAAATTTAGAATGAATAAGGGTTTTAGTGGGGAATATGCTAGGCAGGAAATTTGATTTTCACAATGTCAAAAGAGGCCAAATTATGCAAAAATGCATTTTTCCACTTATAAAAGGGAAATTCATAGTCATTCTATGACCTGGATGACTGAGAACCTTCATCAGCATATAAAAGGGAAACTGGCCAAATATGCTGATTTAGATTATTGAAGAGATTCTGCATAAGGCAAAGCTTTTGCTTCTAAGATTTAGCCGTATGTTCATTGGAAGTTATCACTGAACACACAATAATACCCAAACTAAATAGAAAATTAAAATAACAGTGCAAGCTTATGAAACACATGCCGGTTATATCACCTGGAATCTTCGCACAATTACAGCCAACGCCTCGTTGGAAAGGCCTGAGCCTCTAGTTTCCAAAGATGCCGGCCATTAGGGGGTGTGGCTTAAAGTGAATACCTCCTGTTGCATTACTCCCGCAGAGTCACACATTTAAGGTGGAAAAGTACTTGTGAAAAAATAATTTTGAAACATGTTTCAGAAATTTTAAAGCCCCATTTGAAAGGCATGTAGATGAAACACCATGTGACTGTGTTTTGGCCATATCTACAGTAAAAATAGATTAGGGCTGCAACAACGAATCGATAAAATCGATAAAAATCGACTTTTAAAAGCGTTGGCAACGAATTTCATCATCGATTAGTTGTGTCGCGCGATTAATGCGTCATCCGCCGCCGTCGTCATCACTGCCACTTGATTGAAACGTGGGAAGAAAAAAAAAATACGGCAGAGCGAGCCAGCGCCGCAGGTGAGCAAAGGCTGTTTTCAAAAGGCAGTAACGTCAACTCTTCTAATGACCGATACCGCAAACGCCAGACAGCCTGCGTTTTGTGAAGCGAAAAAAGTCGTAACATGCAACTTTTGTAAAAACAAATGAACATGGCACGGAAGCACCACTGTTATGATGCAGCACCTGAAAAGAAAACACGATGGAGCCTTCGATGGCAGTGAAGAGAGCTGATCAGCAGGGTGAGCGACCATGTTTGTTTCGTTTTAAAGTGGGGAAACGTAACGTTAGTTTCTCAGGTAGCTCGTCTGATGCTTTCCTTACCTTGTTAGTAGGTTAAAGACAGTGATACAGTTGGCTAGTTATTTTACTTTTAATTTCATTTGAATTAGCTTAAGCAGCGTTTATCTTTTCTTTATAAATAAATTAACTTGCAAATTATGAGGGCAAGGCTTTTAAAGTTTAAATCTTCTGGCAAAGATAAAGTAAAGAAGATCCTGCAATTTATGGAAGTAAAGCAGAATAACATCCAGCAAGATCAGTAATATGTCAATTAATTATATGCTACATTCCCATGTAAATATCTGTCTTTGGAGGATGTGTTTTTTAGCACCCCTAGTTCTCTCATTTTTATTCCAAATACTATTTATAATTTGAATCACTCTATTTTTATCTCTATGTTGAAGTATTTTCTCAAGTAGCAACTTTAACTGCTATACTTTCCTGTCTTAAAAGGCAGAACTCTTCTAGTAAAAAAAAAACAACTCATTTGTTGAAATGGGGGGACCTATTGTTTGAACCCCTTATGGGCTTTTAAAAACAAAAATGTCTTTTTTTGCGCTTTATGAAACAAAGTACCCAATATTTTGTGGATGTACAGCTACATTTCTCGTGTAAGTTTGCGTAGTTTTAACACAAACATTTATTTTTCATATTGCACCAGTACAAATAATGAGCAACCTGTACTTGTGTGCTTGTTTGTTCTGTCTAAAATGTTTATTTTGGAATAAAGAGGTTAATATAAAAAATATTTTTTGTCCGATTCATCGATTCATCGAAAAAAATCATCTATTTTTAAAATAATCGTTAGTTGCAGCCCTAGAATAGATAAACACCTGCAGGTTCTGGGCCCACCGGGATTAAGGGGGTTTCAAAACGTCAGAATTGGATTCCAACAGTGTAGATGAACCAGCTAAATGTTTTATTCTTACCCAATCCACAAAGAGTTTGGTTTCTATCCGTGGCATATCACTGGTGGTCCTCAGCATGAGCTCAAACCCAGCAATAAGGGCCTCCTCATACTCCCTGAAGTCTGGCTCAAACTTGATGTCAGAGTCCTCTAAGATCAGATGTACAACAAAGCCTGACGTCTTTCTGGATCTGTCTGAGTGCTGATCGATAGAAAGGAAGATCCAATCAAATAAAACCAAAATGAAAACAACATCCATCACTCCAGTTTGGTCCATTGTTTCACATTAAACCCGCCCTCCTACCATATCCTTAGAAATGAGACTTGTGTAGTCGCTCAGTGAGCTGAGAGTAAGTTTCTGCAGCTGCAGAGTCATCAGAGTTGCTGCACAGTTGAAGAAAGACTCCAGTTGACCCGTCTTTATGAGTGAAGGCAGCTGGCAGGGCAAGCCACCCTCATCGAAAATGTACTTCACATCAAGAAACCAACTAAAACAGAAAACAGATAAATTGATTAAAATATGCATGAGACATGCTGACCTGTTAAAGCAAAGTAGGATCTGGGGAGAAATGCAGAATAAACAACCATTCATGAAAGAAACCATAAAAAAGAGACATAACTGATTTTACGTTGAATAATTTCAGAGTAAGCAGCAACGATTTTCTATACAAGAGATGAACACTTTAAATAGGCTGTATTCTATAAATATGATATGATGTTTATTTTTTTGTTTTCTCCCAGTTATTATACGTTTTGTCAAACATTGGATGCTTACGTATCGAGGAGGACGTTTTTATGGAGCGCCATCTGTTCGGTGATAATCTGCTGAAACTCAGAAAGCTCAAAGCACTTCTCTCTGCCGTGGAAAATCGCCACATCAATCAGACGAACGTCTCTGAAAGGAGGTTTTCATTAAAGTTTGGTTAAATGGAGTCTTGTGCCATGATCAGCAGAGGATGTGGCATCCTTAGGGCTAATTCAATTCAATTCAGTTTATTTATATAGCGCCAAATTCACAACACATGTCATCTCAAGGCACTTTACAGTTTAACAAGATAATACAGACAAATTGATACAAAGTTTTCTATCTAAGGAAAACCAGTTGATTGCATTGATGGGACCAGAGTCAAGAATATCTCTTCATCTTGCGCCATTGAGTTAATTTACAGAAGAAGTTGTTTTTTTTGTGTTGCAGATAATTTCATAAATCCTTTTATACATTTCTGTTGTAACATACTTGTAAGATTCATGCCACAGAAGCATAATTTGCTGCAGAAACCAGCTGATGCAGTGAAGATTTTGACTCATCCTCTTTCTGGCCTGGACAAATGATCCGTTCCACGGCTTGGGCAGGACTTCTAGTCTGAAAGAAGAGTAGCAGCCTTTTAATGTTCTCTTGAACCTCCAAAAGCATTTAAAGACAATTACAAGGTCAGCTTTCTATCACCTGAAGAACATTTCCAGGATTAAAGGACTAATGTCTCAGCATGATCTAGAAAAACTAATCCATGCGTTTATTTTTAGTCGAATTGATTACTGCAACGGTGTTTTCACAGGTCTGCCTAAAAAGTGGATCATATAGCTGCAGCTGATCCAGAACGCTGCTGCCCGTGTCCTCACTAAGACTAAGAAAATAGAGCACATCACCCCAGTTCTAAAGTCCTTACACTGGCTCCCTGTATCTCAGAGAATAGACTTTAAAATACTTCTGTTAGTCTATAAATCTCTGAATGGCTTAGCACCTAAATACATCACAGACTTGCTATCAGTGTATCAACCCTCCAGACCACTCAGGTCTTCTGGCTCCAGCCTGCTCTGCATACCTAGAACCAGAACTAAACATGGAGAAGCAGCATTTAGTTCCTATGCTCCACTTATCTGTAACAAACTTCCAGAAAACTGTAAAAGTGCGGAAAGAGTTCCTTTAAATCAAGACTAAAAACACATTTGTTTAGGATTGCCTTCGACTGTTCTAGTTAAACAGTTCAACTAAAACATATTTTCTTTAGTCCAACTGTTTTTAATATTCTTTTTTGTTTCTGCATTTTTTTTTTTATTTTTTTTTTCCTACTTGCTTTGATACTGTTTTATCTTCCTGTATTTTAATCAAGTTAAGCACTTTGCATTGTCTTTGTACTGAATTGTGCTATACAAATAAATTTGCCTTGCCTTGCCTTGCCTTGCCTTGCCTTGTACTACTTCAAATGTAATAGGAAGCAGTTCAGATGTTAGGAATGGATACATTTCTACATAGTCAAAGTAAAAAAAAACATCTTTAAAGGAGTCATCCCCCAGTAATCTAACATTCAATGAAACATTTGTACATTTGGGCTTCAGTTAAAACCTGCTTTAGAATCTGGAGGGTTTTTTTTCATGTGGGCTCTTTGTTCAAATACATTCATCACAAAGCGTGATTTTGGTCCAGCTTAATCTTGGAAGGATGCTAACATTAGCCATGCTATCATCATTACCGACTCTGTTCCACCAAAAGATGAGATTCAAGTCATCAGCACGCCTCCCCAGAGTGCAGTCAGTAACATAGACAGTATATACGAAGATGCCTCATTTGGCAGTGAGGCTGAGGTGCCTAGAAGGCGGCCATCTTGAGTCAGACCACAGTTAAGACAGCTGCTGTCAGAATGAATAGGAGGCACCTTAGATCTCATTTTAATCACATGTAAGACAAGTTCAGATTAAAAGGACAATAATCTGTCAAAACCCATTAAAGAAAAAAACATATTTCAAAATGACCTTTCAGTAAGATTACACTTATTAACTCAGATTAAAAACTATTTAACTGAACTTAATCTGGATTAAATATATATAAATGTATCCATCCATCCATCCATCCATCCATCCATCCATCCATCCATTCACCATCCATCCATCCATCCATCCATCCATCCATCCATCCATCCATCATCCATCCATCCATCCATCCATCCATCCATCCATCCATCCATCCATCCACCATCCATCCATCCATCCATCCACCATCCATCCATCCATCCATCCATCCATCCACCATCCATCCATCCATCCGTTTTCTGTCACGTTTTAGACCAGCTGGGCTTGCGAGGACTAAACAAAGTTATATATTTTGCAATTAAATATTAATATGATAAACACAGAGTTTTATATTAACATATTATAACATTATATTTTACACTTTATATATTTATATAGTATATTTTAAAGGATTGCTTTTTGATAATGAGTTTTACGATCTATAGAGGAAACTTAGTTGTAATGTGACTCCAAATAGAAAGTAAAGTTATTATTTTGTATTTTTATTCATTTCAATGTAAATTTGTATTATTTTTTTTTGTCAATGTCAATACTTTTTGTCAAATCGTAATGAATGGTAAATTAATGTTGTATCTCACTAAACGGTTTTGTCCCTACAAGTGTGTCTGAACTTCTTCTAAAAGTCTTTTTTGAATATGTTTTTTTATATCATTATTTATGCAAATGTGAGCATTTGTTCTTTGATCAGTTAATGTACATAGAAGCCCAATGACCACCATTCCTCAGGGCCGTTTGTCCGGTTAGGCTTTGTTGGTACACTCTATAAAGCCTTGAACTCAACGCTATTTCTGACATTTTGAATTGAAAAAGCTTCCTGAAATGGAAGCGAAACATCTTCAAACTTGGAAACAAAGTCCAGTGGATTGTTTTTAACTTTTTTTGAATTACTCTGACCTGGCTGACTGAGAATATTCACCAGCATCTTCCAAAGGTAACATAAACCTCGTTGACTTACTCGAGTCTGTGAGATGGTTTTTCCTTCTTGCTGCTCGTCTCATTTTCAGTAGGATCCCTGAGTGCTTGTGTTACTGCAGCCAAAGAGAGCAGACATTAAAATGTTAACAGATATCAGTATCAAAAATAATAATTCTTTAGAATAAAATCAAGGATACATACAAAAATGTATCCGATCTTTTATTCAGTTTATTCCACAAAGTATGGATCTCAGAGGATCAGCTAACGTTTGTAAAATTCAGAAGTAATATGAAGAAAAAAGGGAACTTTATACAGATTGCAGTTCTGATGTTCTTCAGGTATTTCTCCCTGATTTCATTGTCCAGCAGGTTCAGCTTTGCCTGGATTCTCAGCTTGGGAGGGAGCTGATTATGAAGTCCCTCCAAAAAGGAGTCTGTTAGAGGAGCTGCGTTCATTATGTCAATCCCTGTCTGGATGTAGTGCTTGAACATCTAATAAGACAAAAAAATATTCTCAGTAGTAGAGACATTTAGCAACTAATAGGGTAATACAGAACCATACAAATTATATTTGGAGAAAGAAAGACTATTCTTTTATTATTTTATTCTTACACGTTTAAAGGTCCACTTTTGTTTGATCTTTTCTATAATCTTTTACCTGCTCTAAACACCAGAATTTCCCCATTGTGGGACAGTAAAGGGATTTTCTATTGTATTCTATTCCAATGGCGTAGGTTTGATCTCAACCTTTGTAGAGACACTATTGGTCTTAAGTTGAATTGATCTGATGTCATTGGTCCTACGCATTATGCATGCTCCTGTTTTTTTATGCTTGACGTGAGCATCAGGGCACATTTCATTTAGAGAGAAAACAGGATTTTTTAACAAAATTTATACAAATTTTATAAGCACTACACACAAGATGCTTTTTATCAATGTTTGAAGCGTCAGTGGCTCAGAATAATGTAAAATTGGGACAACTTAACACTTTGAAAAGGGTTACATTTTAACTTACCAGTGAAGGTAAATACGTGCCTTCTTAACTAAATATAGTCTAAATATGTCTGTTGTATGTGTATTTATCCGATGTTTTCTTTTGAAGAAATAGAATTGTGCAGAGGTAAACAGAGCAGACGTAAACGCTTGTTATTTTTATCTGATATGCGAATATTCTCTGAATTGTAAAACAAAGCAAAATAACATATTTAAGGGACTGCAAATAGAATTATTGTAAGGAAGAAAAACAGTTCATTTACATGGGCCTGGGGACTATAAGAGGAACTGATACTAAGCATTTTAAATATTAACTTCAATATACAAGTTGTGAGAAAAGAATCGGCTGCTGCAACCACACTGTATTGTAAACTATAAACATGTTATTCAAATAGAATTATTGGTAGGGGCATGTCCCTATGGTCCCTATGCAAACCTACGCCCATGTTTTAATCTATACTATTCTACAAGCAGCTTATATAATGTATTAAACTTTTTACAGTGGTTATTTTTGGTGAGCATCACTTTCACTTCTATAAATTTTGTTGTTTTCCATCAAAAACTGCATCATTATGTACGATGGAGTATTAAGGACAGGCTCGAGATTTTTTTTCTTCTATTTCGAGAATAAAGTCATAAAGTTACGAGAAATAATGCTTGATATTCTTAATTTTAGGGAAGAAAGTGCTTCTTGTAGTTGTCATAAAATACAACTTTTTTTCCCCGTAATTTTAGGACTTTATTCTCTTTATATCTCTATTACGACTTCATTAATTTTATGACTATTCTCGTTGTGACTTTTTTCTCGTAATATTACGACTTTACTCTCCTAATTTCAAAAATATATCCTTAAAATTTGACGACTTTTTTCTCATAATTTTACGACTTTATTCTTGTAATTTGACAACTTTATTCTCGTAATTTTACATCTTTATTCTCCTAATGTTATGACTTTATTCTCGAAATAGAAAGAAAAAAGTTCTGTAACCTGGCCCTAATACTCTGTCATATTTATGCACTAAACTTTTCTAAGAAAAAAAAAACATCTAATTTGTTTTTTTTGTTTTTTTTTAGTGGGTATGTTAGTACATATGATTTGAAGTTTTCAGCAGAGCCTACAAGGGTAATATCTCATTAGTGTTGTTTAGTAAAATCCTAAACAGAGGATCAGGAAAAATGTCATCGTTGTTGAGCAATTAAACAACTGAAAAATAAAATTGGTTTAAACTTTTTACTTTTTTATGTTATAAAAATTATACTTAAAAAAAAATGATTTTAAAAATTAAAAGCCTGCACCTCTGCTAAGGCACCAATTTCCCTCTGTTGGTTTAAATAGCAGATCTTCCCTAAAACATCCCTCTCATATCAGTGTGTGTCATATTTTACCATTTCCTGTTTGCTCTCCTCTGTAATGGTGAAGGGGCCACTGTGTGGAACACTGTCGCCATGAACTTCCCGCTGCCTGAAATCAAACGCAAAACATCATTTTAAGTTTGGTTATGCAATAAAAAGCTAATTAATGATGGTCAGAGGGCCCCGGTGGCGCCAGCGTACGGCAGCCTCGCTTCTGTCAGCAAGCCCCAGAACAGCTGTGGCTAAAATGTAGCTCGCCACTATCAGTGTGTCATTGAATGGGTGAATGACTGAATATAGTATAAACTGCTTTGTTCATGTCTCCTGACTTAAATAAGCACTATAGAAGTCCAGTCAAATTAACACATGTGACATAAATAAGCAGATATCTCATTATAAGAGCCAGAAAAAGCCTCCTAGGAGGAAATAAAAACATGACAGCTCACCTCATGATTTTCATCACACTTTGATGAAGATCTTTTTTCCTTTGCATTTTAAATGAGCAGTTAGTCTTGAATCTCCTGTGCTTTAGCGCATGAGGTCTCCTGGGAAACTGATTCTGAGTTCTGGGTTTAATGTCAGGACCACCTAACAAATAACAAGCAGAACAACAGTGATGGGCTCATACTTAATAGTGTTTTACTGCAAAACTTCCAAAAACAATAATAGGATTGAACTTACTTTCATCAGCTGCTGCTGTACTTTGATCTTTGCTCTCAAATAGAGAAAATGAAGGTTTATTCTCCAGCCATGGCAGCTTCCCGCGGCCCTGAGCAACACATGATACTGGCCTCATTAGAATATTTATTTATTAATAATCGCTCAGTTCGATAATTTAAGAAGTTGTTCCAGAAGAATAATTAAAAGCGGAAACATTGACAGCATATAAGTATTTAAATATCATTACAAACATAACGAGATAGAAATGTCAAAATCAAGTCGTCTTTTTAACCAATTTATGCTCAGTTGGACAGCATTTGAGTATTTAAATATCAGTGCAGACATAACGAGATAGAAACGTTAATGAGCTGTTAGGCTTGTTAAGCATCTGAATTTCCTGATTTTCAGACAATAACTAAAAAAATTGCTAATTTTCTTAAATATTAGCTTCATATTCGCCACCTACCTACTATCGGCTTCCTATTAAATGAGGTAAATTGTCTGTGAAATCAGTTTCCTTCCTTTTAAAACTCCTTCCGGTTAAAAACCATAAGCAAAACCTTGTCGGTTGCTAGGCAACGTGGTAAAAGCAGGAGCCAAGAGACTGATGAGCGCAGATTTATTTCACTTTATGACAAAAGTGAATGTAGCTCATTTTTGTTTTCTGGTTCCTCTTTTTACAAAGAAGAATCAACCCCCTCTGTGTATGCCAGAACCAAAGAAATATGCAGTGAAATGCACAATATGAATGTTTTTTTTATTTTTTTATGTTATAAAAATGATAAGAGCCTGCACCCCTGCTGAGGCACAAATTTCCCTCTGTTGATTTAAATAGCAGATCTTTCCTAAAACATCAGTCTCATATCAGAGTGTGTGTAATATTTTACCATTTCCTGTTTGCTCTCCTCTGTAATGATGAAGAGGCCACTGTGTGCAGAGCTGCAGCCCTGAACCACCCGCTGCCTGAAATCAAACAGATAACACGCAAAACAACTATAAGAGTCAGAGTTTTGTTATGCAGTGACATGCTACTAACATATGTGACATTTATTGAGCTTGCTAGAAATACTAATGATGTTGTCAAAATAAGCAGATATCCCATCATAAGAGCCAGAAAAAGCCTCCTAGTGGGAAGTAAAAACATTACAACTCACCTCATGTCTTTAGCAACACTTGGATAAAGATCTTTTTTCCTTTGCATCTCAAATGAGCAGTTAGTCTCGGATCTCCTGTGCTTTGGCGCATGAGGTCTGCTGGGAAACTGATTCTGAGTTCTGTCAGAACTTCCTCTGGGTTTGCTGTCAGGACCACCTAACAAATAACAAGCAGAACAACAGTGATGGGCTCATATATAATAGCATTTTACTGCAAAAACTTTAAATAATAATAATAGGATGGAACTCACTTTCATCAGCTGCTGCTGTACTTTGATCTTTGCTCTGAAATAGAGAAAATGAAGGTTTATTCTCCAGCCATGGCAGCTTCCCGCGGCCCTGAGCAACACATGATACTGGCCTCATTAGTATATTTATGTATTAATAATCGCTCAATTCGATAAGCTAAGAATTTTTTCCAGAAGAATAATTAAAAGCGGAAACATTGACAGCATATAAGTATTTAAATATCATTACAAACATATCGAGATAGAAGCGTTAGTGAGCTGTTAAGCATCAGAATTTCCTGGTTTTCGGACAATAACAAAAAAAAAATGCAAATTTTCCTAAATATTAGCTTCATATTCGCCACCTACCTACTATCAGCTTCCTATTAAATGAGGTATATATATATATATATATATATATATATATATATATATATATATATATATATATATATATACATACATAGATACATACAGTATAGTATATAGACATACATAGATACATATAAATACATACATAGATAAATATATATGTATATATATATATATATATATATATATATATATATATATATATATATATATATATATACAAACATAGATATATGTATATATACATAGATAAATATATATATATATATATATATATATATATATATATATATATATATATATATATATATATATATATATATATATATATATATATATATATATATATATATATATATATGTGTGTGTGTGTGTATGTATTTAAAATATGTATTCTCTGTCTTCCCCCCTCAAACCAACTTTAGAAATCGTTTGGACGTAAATCAAGTCGTTCGTTGTCTTCTTAATCAATTTATGCTCAGTTGGACAGCATATAAGTATTTAAATATCAGTGCAGACATAACGAGATAGAAACGTTAATGAGCTGTTAGGCTTGTTAAGCATCAGTATTTCCTGATTTTTGGACAATGACAAAACAAAATGCAAATTTTCTTAAATATTAGTATGTGTGTGTGTGTGTGTGTGTGTGTGTGTGTGTGTGTGTGTGTGTGTGTGTGTGTGTGTGTGTGTGTGTGTGTGTGTGTGTGTGTGTATTTAAAATATGTATTCTCTGTCTTCCCCCCTCAAACCAAACTTAGAAATCGTTTTGACGTAAATCAAGTTGTCCGTTGTCTTTTTAACCAATTTTTGCTCAGTTGGACAGCATTTGAGTATTTAAATATCAGTGCAGACATAACGAGATAAAAACGTTAATGAGCTGTTCGGCTTGTTAAGCGTCAGAATTTCCTGGTTTTCGGACAATAACTAAAACAAAAAATAATTTTCCTAAATATTTGGCCCATATTCGGCCGCCTACCTGCTCTTGGCTTCGTTTTATAGGAGGTAATTTGTCTGTGTTATCCGTTTTCTTCATTTTAAAACTTATTCCGGTTAAAAACTTTCTGCGACCAACAGCAAAACTTTTATTCCGCGTTGCTGGGTCGGTTGCTAGGCAACGTGCTAACGCCTGAGCGGTGCGGCAGGAGCCCAGAGACTGATGAACGCGGATTGATTTCCCTTTTTCTGTGCTCCTCTCTTCACAGAGAACAACCAAACACACCAAATAAATATACCATGAAATAAATAATATCAATTCATAATGGCAAAATCTACTGAAGAGAATTAGGGCCACTGACAAAAAAACAACAAAAAAACAAATTACTGATTTTTAAATTTAAATATGAGAAAAAAGTCAAAATTCTGACTTAAATCTAAGAATTTTGGATCTTAATGTAGATGGGCACCATGAAGGAAGGGATGTGGGATCACTCAGCTTCACTGACTAAGATGTGTAACATATTGGTGGAAAATGATGATATTATGCGACTTTTTACATGCCCGAGGGATCCCCCCGGTGATGATATTTCATTACTGGAAGAGCAGAATGTGATTAAAACTAGAGAGCTAGTTTAGTATTGAAAACAGACATGGCTATGGCTTGATGCTAACATGTTTTTTAGCTGTCAGAATTCTGAGGAAAAAGTCAGAATTCTAAGATTAAAGTCAGAATTCTGATTTTAATCTCAGAACTATGACTGAATTTTGAGAAAAAAGTCAGAATTCTGAGATTTAAGTAAGAATTCTGAGATTAAAGTCAGAATCTTGCCTTTAATCTCAGAATTCAGTCAGAATTATTAGGAAAAATTTCAGAATTTTTAGAAAAAAAGTCAGAATTCTGACTTTAATCTCAGAATTCTTACTTAAATCTCAGGAAAAAAAATGTCAGAATAAAAAAAAAGTCATAATTCAGTCAGAATTATGAGGAAAAAATTCAGAATTCTGAGAAAAAAAAGCTAGAATTCTGACTTTTTCCTCATATTATACTGAAATAAAATTTAAAAATCAGTTTTTAAAAATTTTTTTCAGTGCCATAATCCTCTCCCATACAAATCGTTATTAAAAAAATAGCTACGTTTAAACTAACCAAAGCTAGACTTTAGCTTATTCAACTTCACTCTTTTTGTTAAAACTGACCTCCAAATTTAGCTAAATAAAATCTGTTTATCTATTTCATGGAGAACATCAAGAGAAAAATAAAACATAGTCACTTGCATTTTAGAGTTGCTTCTGTGTTTAAGGTTGTTTTGGTGACCCAGTTTGGGCTTAGCTGCACCCATTAGATAGATTGCTTGAACACATTGCACTGAGGCCTGATAGCTGCATAACAAGCCCAGATTATCCGTCCTCCACCTTCCTAATCAGCTGATATGAGGCGTTTATGCAAATATCTCTATTTTAAACCAAACCTGGTGATGTTGATTATGATCAAAGGCAGACATTGCTGCAGTATTGGGCCTGATTCAGATGCATCTTGGCAAACCAGAGTCCCATCGACATTTCCTTAATAACAGCAGATCCTTTCTTCTTTAACATCAAGATTTCATGGTAAAAATACAAGTCACAAAATCCACCTTAAGTTTGTTTGAAGATGTTTATTTTCAATAAATATCTCAATAAAATGTAACAATACCTCACACACTTGGAAACAGCTCATATTTGCAGCTTATGGACAACAAAAAATAGAAATAAGACCTTTTAATATAATTTAGTGCATACATTTACTCCCCAAAAGGATTTATTGTATTCTTTGATATTAGTTATAATCCCCTGAGCCATGAGAATAAGTTTGAAAGTAAAAAAAAAACTGTTCAAAAGTGTCTGGTGAATGGAAGGATTCAACTTAAAATATAATTTGCAGCAAAGAAATAAAACACATCTACTTTCCACACCCTTAAACATTAAAAGCAGTTTCCCTTCACCTCTCCGCACAGCCCTTCATGTGGTCGGCTCTATCCGGTGAGCTCAGAGCTTCAGCAAAGGCCACCCAGCTGCATGGATCCATTTTCTACACTGCAAACATGGGAGGGTTTTTGGAGCATTTTTTTGGAGCATTTTATTTTTTTATACATATTTTTCATCTAAAAATCCAGGCAGCTCAGGTAGACCCCAAGAAAACGTTTTTGTTTTTTTTTATGCTGTGGTCACAAAACTTTTTAAATGACAGCAATGCTTCACATTTCCTATAGAAACACAAAAACACAACTTGTTTTTATACACAACACATTGTTCATATAACAAAATATCAACACAATTGCTTTTAAGTGCAACATTCAGAGACAAGATCATCTCAATGTCTCCGCATAGAGGGTTCCCCGGTCTGGATATCGTCCAACTGGGAAGATATTCCTGTTAGGCTTCTCAGAGGGAAGCCACCTCAGATCCTCATAGATCTTCTAGAGGAACATCTGTTCACTTTCCTGCAGCTGCCTGCTGGTCCTTTACAACTTCTCCTATTTGTTGGATTTCATTAGTCCAGGTAGGGTAAGTTCATACCTTAAAGAGAAGGGAAGTAAAACACATTTGAGATTATGATTATTCTGTCTCCCAAAGGACAAACTTAATTCTTCTTCATTCTGCACACAAGAGGGCAGTAAAGTTAAAAGTTTTCCAAATGAATCACTACAGTTTCACTGGAAGACTTTAAAGTAGCAGGCTTTGAATGGAGCAGAGGGGTTTTCTGTCATGCTGGTGAAGATTCTCAGTCATCCAGGTCATAGATATATAAAAAAAAAAAGTAAATTAACAACATTCTTCTTTCTTTCATCTTTTCTCTTTTTCTTCTTCTGTTTTTCTGCACTATCTACATTGCAGTTTCCATATAAACTGTAAAACTCCCTGCATAATTATAATAAAGCAATTTATATGCATGAAACAAGTGGAGCAGTATGGCAGTTGTCATACCGTTACACTTGTGAAAGTAAAATCTGTTGGGCTCTTTTTGGCATCAAGACAATTATTCTTACTGCCACATTGCCAGACAGGACACTGTTAAAAAAAAAAAAAAAAAAAAACATTCCACTGGGCTCTGTTTTCAACGTTGAAGACATTTCGCTTCCCATCCAGGAAGCTTTTTCAATTAAAAATGTCAGAAATAGCGTCGAGTTCCAGGTTTTATACAGTAGCCAAACACAACCTTGTTGTTGTTTTGTAAAAATGCAAATTAAAACTGACGATTTTTGCCATAATATCTAATTATCTTACTTTAAGGGTAAAAATGCTCATTTCATTGGCAGAAAATTTTATTTTCCTACTCATATTAAGGGTAAATACATTTATTTTAGGACATTTTTACTCATTTTCAGAGCCTTTTTGCATTGTAGGCAAACAGCCACCATAGCGTTTTTGCATCCCCCCCAGTGCTAGTCACAGTGTATGTTATTGGGTACAGTTATAACTGCTGTTACAAAATATAATTTACCTTCATTTCTATTTATTTAGTAACATTTACCATTTTAATTTGGCATCTCTTTGAATGAAAAAACACGCACAAAATGTATTTTTTTTATGTACATGTATATCAACTCAGGCTTCAAGGGGTTAAAGAAGTAGGAGGACCTAATTTTACTCAACGCCACATTGAGTCATAACAACCCCTTAATTTAGTAATTTTTTAGATAATCTACCCACCTTTTTTAAATCATGGAACTATTTTTAGGCTATGCCATTTTCATTTATTAAACTAAATATTTATTTAAATGGTGGGATTTCTGCTTTTTAGGGGAAAAACCATCTGGGTTGCTGTTAAACCTTTTCAGTTTCAGGTCATTTTAGAGAGACCTGTGTGAGTAACTAGTGGTGTGAAATCTAGACCTCTTACCAATCGGAGACTCCTTTTATTAGATCCATCTGTGAGATATCCAACATCACCTGGTAACAAAAACAATTTGGGAAAATTGAATTAGAATTTAAGATAAAGATATGTGAGATTTATCATTTAAATCATTTTAAAAGGGTGTTTCCACACCTTAAGAACGTCTCTACCTACCATGCCTATGTCCTTTCTCTGCCTCGTATGGAACATCTTGTTATTTTTTACAGAAATATCCAGCTTCCTGGTCTTTGCTTCTTCAAGTGACACATCAAACTCAAACCTGCAGAAGAAGAAGAGAAGAAGAAACATAAAACAAAGTGCTGGTGACGATTCTGAGTCCTCCAGATCATGGTAATTCCAAAAAAAAGTTAAAAAACAAGTTTCCAAGTTTGAAGATGTTTCAACCCGACCCCTTTACAGCGGTAAAAAAGACCTCGCCTATTCAACCAGGCCAACAATTCCCTTAACGACCCCCTTAGAGACATAGGCCGTTTCTCAATATGTGTGCTTGTGCGTTCTCGTTTACTCGTGAAACGTCATCATCCTCAGCCCTAGTTCTATTCCAATTCACAAGAACAAGAAGACAGAGAACAGACAAAGTCCCCAGATGTTGTTCTCGCCCCTCCCTCTTTACCCAGCATGCATCAGAGGAGACTTATCCGCTCTTCAGAGTGACAGCCGTCCCAGCATGCAGTGTGGTATCAGCAGCTTCCAGGTCAGCGCTCACAGAGCTTAGAGTATTAAGTTAATAGTTCTCTTTTCTGTTGCTGTTGTTCAATAAAAGTACATTTAAGGATAATTTGAGGGGGGAACATTATGCTTTTAAGCTTCAGCCCATTTACCGATTTACTGTGTAATTTAAAAAAAAAATTCCAAAGTTGAGAGGAGCTCCGAAGGCATAGCCTTGTGTGAAGTACCGCTGGCTCTGATGGCGAGTTTTTCATTTTATTTGGCAAAATGTTCATTTGCTTTGTGTTTATCTGACTATGTTCATTATTATTCCACCAACAAATGAAAAAAGTAAGAATAATTATCTAGAGATTATTAATAATAGGAGGTGAAAAGCAGCTCCAGACGAGCTGAGCGTTTGGTGATGTCATCAGTACGCTTCTGTTCCAATTGAATCATATTTATGCTGCTTGCTCCAGTTCTCCCAGAGTCCGTACTAGGGGTGTAAATAATAATCGTTTTGTATCGATGCATCGATCCAAAAGCCGACGATCCGATGCATCGACACGTCCGCAAGAAAATCGATTCATGTTTTTCTCTTCCTCCGGTCTATTTTTATCCATTTGCTCCTGGACGTAATTCTCCCTCCCGTGCTGCGGTGGCGCTAAACCTATTTTGCCCTCCTACCTCGCTTCCTGGTTATACTCTTACAGCAGTGTGTTGCAGTGAGCTTGATGCAGACATTTTTAAATTATGCTCAATATTGAAGCGTGGTCTGCGCTACACACTGTGGGTCTAGATACGGCCGAGGCGGCGAGGAAGTGGGGGCGAGTTTAGTCCGACGACGGAGGGACATGAGGGCCAAAAAGAGCGGAGATCCAGGTGGAAAAAGGATCCCAGCGTTCTCGCGCACCTCGATCTTCTAGCGGGTCAAACTTCACGAGTTGTTTTCCGCAATTTCGGTCATAAAAACAAAACAAGCCGGCCTCCTGTCTGCGGTCAGCTACAATTTGGGAGAGGAGCAGCGGAGCATCTGTGGAGGGGGCGGGGGCGACTGGAGCCGAGGTATTGCATTGCACTCATTGCACTGATTTTGTGCAGTATTTTTTGATGCAAGGCCTTTCAGAATCTATAACGGAGGGGCAGTATTATTTTTCAGTGAATGAGGTTTTAATAGGAATAGGTGGAGTAAAACATTTCTATTTCTGTTATTTGCTGTTGTTTCTAACCAGTTAATAGAATCGAATCGCATCGTGGTGTATTCTTGAGTATCGAAAATAATCGAATCGTTGGGTCAGGAAATCGATACTGTATCGAATCGCCATGATGGGTTTGATTTACACCCCTAGTCCGTACTATCCTGTGTTCTTCTAAAGAAAAGATATATATCCTCCTCCTCGTCACATTCAGTGCTTTTGCTGCTGGCTACTGCAGTCATGCGGTCAAACTTGTTGAAAAAAATCTCACTTTAATCAAATAAATGTTATTTTACTAATTTTATAACCCAACATTTTTAATTGACGTTATGAGCAAACTGGAACGGAGCGAAATCCTCGCTCCGGCCTTTGAATTGAAAACCGCTCTGCGCCCCACCATATTTCTTTCTCCCCGCTCCACCGCTCGCTCCGCTCACATGCTCTGATAGACAGGTATGGGACAATGCAGGCTAACAAAAGAAACCAAACGACCCCCATTCCAAAGAGATGGATCCGTTTCAATTTGCATGTTTCTAAGCCAAGACAAGGGTTTGTTGTTCTACTGTATAAAGCTTCAAACTCAACGCTATTCCTGAAATTTGGAATTGAAAATGCTTCCTGGATGGGAAGCGAAACATCTTCAAACTCTGAAACAAAGTCCAGTGGATTGTTTTTTCACTTTTTTGTAAGAAACAAAGAGGATCTGTAAATGATTTTCACCCTTTGGGCGCATTAAAACATGCTTTACAGGATTCATCCAGCTGTCTTACTTTTCTTCAAAGACGGGATTGACCGTCCTTTTCCTGACGTGTGTCTTTTTGCGGTGTCTCCATGAGTGGTCTGGCAGTAGATACATGCGAACGTAGGAGTCTGTGCCATGGTCGCTGCAGAGAAACAGGTCCCTGCAGGAAAACATTGGATTTTTGCATTTCTGTAATTATGATGAATTTGAAAATAAGGCATGTTGCAACAAACCTGCAGGCGTGAACCAGGACTATAAGCTTGTTCCTCATGTTAGCATAGCGTACAGTCAGGTGGATTTCTCCAAATGTACCTTGATGGTTCCTTATAGCCCTAAAATAGTTTAAAAAAAATAGAGGAAGGGTTTACAGCTTTTAGCATTCCTCAGAAAAGAGCAAATGTTAAAGATCTTAGTACTTCAACTCACTCAGGATAGGAGGCTCCGTCTGAGAGGTCGAACCGCGACGAGGCGATGGAGTTATCCGACAGCAGGCTGTGGGAGTCGTAGCGACGCATGCTGGCGTTCGGGGACTTACTGGCTTCAGAAACCAGGAAGGAGCTCCGGCGCCGCTGAGCTGAAGAAGCCTCATTTGTTCTGTTGAGCTGATCCGCCGGCTGAGATTTGGCGGGGTCCCCAGGATGGGCAGCGGACACCGAGGCATTTCCGCCTGCTGACATCTGCTGGTTGACGTTCACGGGAGAACTTTCGGGGATCTTGGTTGGAGGTCGCTCCTCTGTAAGAATCTGCAAAAGGATACTGATGTTTAAGCAGATCCGATGATGTAAAAGATCTTTATACATTTAGGGACATGAAGTGCAGCATAAAAGCGGTAGGGCCGCCCACCCTGAGAGTGGCCTTCAGTTTGATCTGGCTGTTGGCTCCTGAGCGCTCAAGCGGGAAGCGTTGGTCTAGAGACATCTGGGAGTTTTCAGAGAGGCGATTGAGAGGCAAGTTGAAAACCCCGAGAACGGTCTTCTTCTCATGCTCTTTGACCTGAAACAAGCAAAGATGGAGTTACGGCTAAAATGGTGTTAGGTTCAAAAATGTAGGTTCGTAAGAGAGGAACTGAGTCCACACAGGAAAGAGATTCTCAACAGCTCCTGCAGGAGGGGAAAGAGCAAAACCCAACTTTCCAACTCTCTCTCGGAACCCTCTCCTGCAGTGCCCTTTTATAAACAGAACATAACACATGGTTACAAAACAGAGTATTCTTCTGACAGGACAATTGATCAGGTCATAAGACAGAATGCTTCACTGACTGAATCCCAAGACAGAGGGAAGCATCTCCTTCCCTCAATGTTTCATATGCACACACATTAATTTTATAATCATCATTGAATTAACCTAACAAATGGTTTAGATAAAGTCTGCTTCTACCACCTTACCGGAGCCAAGAATGTCTGATTCATTTGAGGATTTTAATTAATTGAATCAATTTGTTAATTTTCCAGGGTGAAAACCAGTCAGATTTTAGCTTGTCTACAAGCTTTATGCGTCCATCAACAAGCTTCTTTCATCATTCAGGCTGGATAGTAGCTATTACCTAATTGCCAAGGATTTTCTGCAATGAACCAGTTTAACAGACAATAAAGCAGACCATAATGCTGCCACCGCCATGCTAAACAGATTAGCTTATCAGATTTAACTAAAGCCTCCAAACATATTTCTTGCCAGGCGCCAAAACAGCTCAATCTTTCCCTCCACTGAACTTCAACCTTTTTTTCCATGTTTTTTTCCACTTAAAGTAAAACTGGTTTTACTGTGGAAATGTACCAGTTTATAGTCGGTTTTAACCTTGGAGGTTTCTGAAGAACCAGCTTTCTTTCCACTGAAAGTGGAAGTTTGGCTCGTTTTTCAGGACGTTGGCAAACATTAAGCTGAATTGATGGTTTTGGAATCTGCAGTAGCTTAGAAATTGCTCCAAAAGTTTTAATCTACTAATGTAAGACTGAGAAGAGTAAGAATTCCTCTTGCTTTTCAATTTACCTGTCAAACCGGAATTTCTGCTAAGAGAAGAAGGGTGTTACTTATGATGCCACAAAAGCTATCCAAACCAAGTAGGCCCTCTGTAATGTAATGTGATCAGCAGGTAATTTTAAAAGTAATAGTGGAGGATTATTCTTTTTTCGGGTGTGTTTCTCCTAATTGTCAATCATTGGGGTGATATGTTTAAGGCCGTCCTACGTGCTCATCCCCATTTTCACTTACCAGTGGTAAATCTGACATAGTGGAAGAATTGCAAATCTTCTTTTGGAAAGTAAGCTTGATTGAGCGATGCAAACAGCAACTTTTAAAAAGAGCGTGCACGAGGAGAAATGCGATCGTGCACGCTCACACGCGTTTAATAGGTGCTCCTTCGTGGGAGCGGTTACAGGGTTGTGCTTGTAAATTTTCAAAAATTTGTAAAAGTCCGCAACTATATCTAAGTGGAAAACGCCCACGCCTGATTAAAAAAAATGAGGTCTCTTAAACAGAAGCTGTTTGATATTGTTTAATGAGGAAGTTATGTCACCTAAAAAGCTGTTGCACCTCAGGGCTTCCTCACAGTCCTTTTTCTGGGAGCAAGTTATTTACTACTCTTAACTCAAACTGGGTAAAACCATAAAAAAAGGACTATAAAACAAGAGTAAAAAATAACAGAGTCTATTCCAGATCAGGTCGTTACAGGACAGAGAAAATGCTTGGAGCTTGCACAGCTGTGGGCTCAAAAATCACGTCTGCGAGCGTCCGGCAAAGATTGAGCCCCGAACAAGGTCCTCTCCTGCTTCTTATACCTCATGAGTCTATGTGTTGCACCAGGTGGATGCTTAGTTGTCCGTATCAGAAACTGATACGCCATCCATGCCCAAGGATTACAGATAGCTCTCCTCTATCAGTCCGGCTCCAAGATGTGCCCATATCCTATGTACTTTTAAAGACACGAAGGCTGTCCTGATTAGATGACCTCCGTACACACAGTGACATCCACCATGTGAAGGAAGGCCTTCTACTCTCTCTAATCCGGCTACCAAAGTAACAATGCAAATGATGTATAAAGCATAAACCTAACAATATCAAGACTGAAGTTAAATGACGTCTAAAGGTACCAGGCTTCTCAAACAGAAAGTTTGTTCTGTGCTTTTTGGCATTTTAGAGACTTGGGAACCATTATGAACAAATGGAGACATGAAACAGAGTTAATGAATCTCTGCAGCAGCTGCTCTTCATAAATCATTCTAAAAGAAAATCCACCATTCATCCAGGAGGTTACTGCCTCATGTTTTTTATGCACACAAAAAAAAAACACTTACTGCAAAATAATCCTCAGACATGCAAGATAAAAATGCTTGAATACTTAAAAAGTATGATTTCTATTATGAGCCATAAAACTATGATTATTTCTGAGACAAACATCTGTCTGATGGTTTAACATGGTGGTGGCAGTATGATGGTCTGGAGCTGCTTTGCTCCTTCATGAACAAGACTATAAGTGATATAAGCATGAATTCTGCTCTCCAGCCAAATGTCTAACCATCAGTTTATCTCTATAAGATGAATATTTATGTTACGACTAAAAAGTGGTAAAATTATTCACAGAATATGAGTAAATCCACTGATTGAGCAGCCAGGGGAAAATTACGACTAAAATCTGAGTAAGGCGCTGTAGCATGACGTTAAACTGATCATTTTTAAAGGACAGATCTTCAGTTTTTTTTTGCTCCTGCAAAGAAGGGTGACCAAAGTTTCCTTCATATTGTGAAAGGCAGTCCGTCATTTATCAAAAGTACTTTTAGGGAAGTAAAAAGGAGATTTTAATACATTTTTTTATATTTTTTTTAATAGGGAAATCACAAGAAACGAGTAGGTTTTGAGGACAATTTCATGTATCACATGGGTGACTTTTTCAGGTTATTTTAATTGCTAGGGCATCACTGTACCATTCAAATGCGTTTTAAAATCTGAAACATAAAAGTTTTGCTAGAAAACATAAAGAAACATGTAAGACTGTCATTTTTTAATGCAGACTGGAAGCAACACTACACTCTATCACAGCTTTTCTAGTTTTTTGTTGAAACGTCAAATGAACGACATGCTCTGGTTTCAGTTGGACCTCAGACAGAGTTCACATCATAACAAGGGTTCTAATAAAATGTCTGACAGGTTAATGTGTGTGTGTGTGTGTGTGTGTGTGTGTGTGTGTGTGTGTGTGTGTATCCTGACCTGAACTACCAGCTGCTGAGTTTCTATGTTGTGTACGAAGAAAGTGAAGCCCTGCTCCCACACCGGGTCTTTACTCATAAAGGCAACCTGTAAATAAAAGAGATGACAGGGAGGAAAATAGTTACCATGTGGTGATACAGATGATTTAAAGACAGTGGGGGCGGGGGGATTATTACCTTGCTTTTCTGAACATCTTTATCAAGGGTAAATTCCACATAGGAGCTGGGACCCACATTTTTCTTTGTAAGCTGAAAAAAAAGAGCATAGATGAAGCATGTGTGTTTGCATGATGGGGTTAATTTTCTGTCTTTTACACTGGAAAAGAATCAAAATTTAGATAAGTCATTTTTTTTTCTTAAAATAAGTGCATATTTTCTTGTCTTGAGGAGGTAAAAGAGACATTTTGCCATTTATCTACATATCTTATCTACATATCTTATGTTAAGAGTAAAAATACTAATTCTATTGAGAAAATATCTCATTTAACCACTCAAATTAAGGATAAATACACTTAATTTAAGAAATTTTTTACTTATTTCAAGATTGTTTCTTGCCTGAAAATGATCTACCTGTGTGTCCTTTCTGTAACAAATATGCCTGTGAGTTAACTGTTAAAACTGGGGTCTGAGGTGATGAACCATGTTGGAAAGCTTTTATGTTTATCTCTGGATCTGAACTAGATTCCCGTGTGCAAAACAGACACGCCTCACAACACGGAACATGTGACACACATAATTACTCTGTGAATCATCCCCCATTATACTGCTGTAGGTTCAACATTCCAGCAAAATCACATCCAGGAGGAAATCTGCTTTTCTGTGTTAAGACTTTTAGAGTTCCTTGCCAGGTGATGTCCAGCAGAGGGCGCTCTGCAGTTTCTGTTGGCAGATCAGCTCAATAATGATCAGATAGGTGAGTAGTAACTGGTTATATTTACTCAGTAAATGTCTCCTTTAGTTCATATTTAAAAACTGTTTATTAGCAGTTTTACTGTATTGTAATTTTTATTTTACTTTGAGTATAAATATGATGAAGTATTATCTCTCTAAAGAGTAAAATTTCTTTCTATTCTACTCATTGTCACTTTAAAGAAGAACAAGTTTGTTTTAAACAGCGATGACACGCCTATAGTTAATAATGTTAAAGTAATATTTCATTTTTTGACTCAGGCTTCATTTAGAGGTCAAGTAAAAATACACTTAATAATATATTTTATCATGTTACTGGAAGTAAATTACCCTATTCTAACATTTAATTAATGAGCTTTATAATGGGAAACAGATTAAAGACAGTTTCCTTCTACTCAAATTATTATTGGGTACCTATTGCTTGTTATATATTTATTTTTTTATCTTATTCTATGAAACACCAGCATTTGCTTATCAATTATTTTTGATTTATTTTACAGTATTGTTTAAATATTTATTCAAGTACAGCAGCTACTCAGTATTTAATTGTTGTTTTTACTAAATATTTTTTCTACTCTGAGTCATAACCTTGTGTATTATATACATACAATTATTTTAAATTGTCTTAAAATTCATTTTTTAAATCATTCTTATGAGATATACAGTACATTTAGGGATCTCACAAATTGAAATATTTATTTAAAAAATTAGTCCAATATCAGTAACAATAATAATAATAATATTTGCATATAGCAACCTTTATTTAAAATCTCAGACATTAACATGCAGATAGAAACAGTTAAAAAAGTATGTAACGCACTGCTTAGTAATAAATGGATCAGCTGTTCTCATGATTACTGTTGTTGATTTATAGTCTCTGTTTAAGGAATATCACTTGATTAAGCACTTTTTATAGCATCCTACACACTTATGTCAAAATTCAAAATATAATATAAAGTCAGCATGCAGTTTACAGTTTCTATATAGACTTAGATTTCCTTTATTGTCATTGCACACAAAAACACAAGGTGAATCTTGACAACGAAATGTCGATTACTTGGCTACCAGTGTAACTAAGACCTTAGAACTAAGACCTTATTCCTGCACAATAAATATGATTTCTATAACTAAGAGCAGGGTATAAAAGTAAATATAAATACATATATATTGCACTGAGTTATTGAAGAAGTAACCTCAATCCAGTAAATCACTGAATCAGGAGACAGCTTGAAACAGACTGAAACTGATCAGCTGAACTCTTTAGATCAGCTGGAAACAAAAAGTCCTGATTAAATGCCGGACAAACAGGAAAAACCAGACGTGCTTGACGGCAGGAACTCGGAACATTGACATGGAAACTATCCGATCTGACCAAGTTCTTTGGTCTGCAGATCAGAACCACGAGACTGAATCCCATTTCTAGCGTTAACCCGGCCATTAGTATTTTCCTTCCTCCTTCAGAAGTACTTCAAGTAATCCGGAGGTGCGGCCCTCCTCTTACAAGCATGACTAGTCCTCTCTATATTTTATTGGGTGTTTGCAAAAGGAGCTACAAAGCAAACCAACCAAACAAGTAGGGAGACCAACAACATGGGTAACCATGGCAACATATACAGAAATATCACAGAAAGTATTGCTATGAAAGGAAGACAGAGTTGTCTTCAAAAAAGATTAAGATTTTATCTCTAGACTCAGACTGCACCAGATACCTGAGAGCAAACAAGCAGAGTGTTAAACGGGAAAAAAAAAACATATATATTAAAAAATGCTTTTGCTGCAAATGTTTGCTGGGGAAGTTTCAAACCAGTCCTGTTGTTTTCCTTAATTTACAGAATAAGTAAAATATATAATGTATGGGAACGGGTGCTGTCAAAGTTGAAGGGAAAAATAAAAACACACAGAAAGACAAAATAAAACAGATTTCTTACCCTTGCCTCTCTGCCATGTTTCCCATGTTTCTGATTGGATGCTAACTCACTGTGGTCCTTCTGCAGACACATAAAAAAATAAACTCTTCTAATTGTCATCAACCGGCGACAAAATGAACAGAAATCGTCCGAGGCCTCTTACTGGAAGGTTGCTGCCGCTGTCCAGGTATATCGCAAGCATAGCACAGGACAGGCCGCTGTTGGTCTGAAAGAAAAACAGGATATTATTCACAAGACCCGAAGCTGCTGGAAGCCAAATTACAGGTGGAAGGTTAGGATTTTTACGGAAGGTCTAAGATCCCTGCAAGGCTCAGAGCTCAGGGCGAGCCACTGCAGCTTCAGATGAATCTCTCCACTAGTAGCGCCTTCCAAGGTAAACCACTACAAGAGAAAAAGACTAATAGTTAAACGGCACCAAGAATGTGTTTTGATCATTACTGATTTCATTCAGAAATGTTCATTGAAAGCTTACCTGGTCCATTTCTTTCTCCCTCTTTATTTCTCCCAAATCCATGTTATAACTTAGGGAAAGAAAAATAATGTGATAAAGATGGAACTTGTTTCAATAAAAATGTCTGTATATTTATATATCTATATACATTTATATGTAATTTATTTATTTCCAAAGACATGAAACACATGATTATCGAAAAAAAAATGCAATATAGGTGAAGCAAATAAGTGTGTTTGATTGGATTTGAGCAGGTAAGGCAATTTGCCAATGGAATAAAATGTTTCATGTTTGAAATAAGAAACAACGCCGTAACTTATTACAAGTTTATTACAGCTAAGTATCTTATTCTAAGAGACAAAATGCTCATTCTTTAGGCATATTATCTAGTTTACCTGGGCAAATTAACGGCAAATACACTTATTTTTTAAATCTGTTTTTGCTTAAGCTCATGTTTTCGGTATATAAAAACCACATTCCTGTGCAGGTGTGGGACACAAATGGCCGTAAATCTCCAACTTTACAAAAACTTTTCTTTTTATTTGTTCTGTTGTTGTTAGATTGGTGCTAACCTTCCTAGAAAATCGTCTTTATCTCTGTCTTCATCGTACAGCTCCACCTCCAGCTCCTGTCCGGGCGCCTCATGAACGACAAACTGCACAAAGAAAATATTTTTCAGTCTTTATTGTTTGAGATTAGACAATGATTAAAAGGATTATGATTTCTGCCGGATATCAGGTCAATTCAAAAAGATATTACTGCAATCTAGAAATGCACAAATTTGAGTTTGGGTGACCATCTAACTGGGGCAGATTTATCATTAGGCAAAAATAGGCATTCGCCTAGGGCCCCAAGTTCCTGGGTGCCCCATAAAACTCTAATAAATCATAAATCCTTTCGCTAAAATGCCATCAGAACACTTATAATATTAAATTATATTTAATATTATAAATATACCCCCCCCCCCCCCCCTTCAGTGTCAACCACATTGGATCAGTCCATTTGCTGCAAATGTTCAAAAGGTCCAAACAGACAGCAGCAAACCATTTGAAAACAAACGGTGCGAAGAGCAGTGTTGCCAACTTAGGGACTTTCTTGCTATATTTAGCGACTTTACAGACCCCTCTAGTACTTTAATTTCCAAAAAAGCGCCTTGTGCCAAACCGATTTTTTTCTGCAACTGGAGACTTTGGGAACAACATCTAAAAGCAGCGAACTCTGCTCTCCAGAGCAAGTAGATTGGTAACCCGCCTCCTGCTCTCCTCTATCTTGTCTGCTGTCATGATTCATGCAGCTATTATTTCATCCAAATGAAAAATGGAGAACAGATAAGCAGATCATGGCTTGTCTACAGAGAAAAGAAGGACTGGGTTATTTACTTTTGCCTTTTTGGAAACACAGGAAGGACCAATCAGCTAAGTGAGCTTAGTGCTTGGAAAAAATCTTTCATCCTTTTGAGACAGCATGAAAAGTCAGCTGAGTACAAAACATAGAGAGGAAAACAACAAGAGACAAAACCTAGAACAAATAATGGATGTCTATTCTATTAAAATTTCTGTATCTGTATAATGGGTCTGGTTTATGTGTACTCTTCTTAATTCAGGGGCCCCATGCCTGTCTTTGCCTAGGGCCCCAAATTTCCTATCTAGCACTTAAATTACTTAAATTGAAAAATTTGCTCCTTAAACTAGACAGCCAGAAGATCCACATTTTAAAAAGGCACCAAAAAACTTACTGGAGAATTTCAGCTATATTAAGTTAGGGTTATAATTAAGGATTGATACCTGATGTTCCCATTATGGCTGATAACCGATATTGCCAATACATATTTCCCAACCATTCAGAGATCATAAAAAATGGACCACATAGCTGACATCACCTCCCTGCTTCAGTCAAACACATATCATCCTGATCTGCATCACAATCACTGCAACACAACATGACCTACTCTCTCCTCCTGAGCAGTGGTGGACGAAGTACTCAACATTAGTACTTGAAGTATTGATACTCATAGTCAAATCTTAACTACAATTAAAAGTTAATCAGTCAAACATCTACTCAGGTTAAAGTACTCACTTGCAAAATGCTTAAATATTCAAAAATACAATTGAAATGTTCTAATATCCGTACCTTTATGTATAATATTCAGATTAATTTTAAAGAACCTTGTAACTTTCTGAAACGACCTGATGTACTGATGCATAGAAACACCTGCTACAGATTCTACACCCCCTTTGAAGAACTTGAAATGCTGAAGGAAAGCTAAATTTTGATTATTATTAGTTATGTAAAACAAAGTACCGTAATGATTCTTCTCACACTTTTACTATGGAATAGAGGTTTACAGGTGAATCTATTACCACAAAGGAACCGCAACTCTGATCTAAGAACTCCTCCTACTAAACAACTTGGTCACATGACAACAACGTGACCAAGTAAAATGTATAATTTTCAGACCTAATAGCTGCTATCTTGCATATTGAAATTGCATTTGAAGAAAGAAAAACAACAACAGCGGATTACAAAGCTAAATTGACGGAACAAATAATTGGCAGCTTCCTGGAAATGGAGTGGAGTAGAAAGTACAATATTTGACTAGGAGATGTAATGGACTGAAAGTTATAAGTACCCCCCTGCAAAAAAATACTCAAGTAAAGAAAAGATACTCGAAAAAAATTAACTTCAGTACAGTAATCAAGTAAATGTACTCTGTTACTTTCCACCACTGCTCCTTAGACAAAAACAGCATGATGATCATCTAAGAGGAGCGATAAAAAAAATACACCTGCTGGGCTTTTGGCTTTACAAAGAATAGCCAAGCTTGACATACTTTTCTCTGACAGTACATCAAAAATCAGAAGAGTACATCTTTGTACTAATGTTTTCTGATGATTGTATAATTAGATCAGCCCATTCTCTAATAGAAAAAATAATGGTACCTGGTACCTCCCACTGAAAATAGTTTAAAAACACGCCTAAAGATGATCAGGTTTATTTAAGATCAGGGGTGCTAAAGTCCAGTCCTCAAGAGCTACTATCCTGCAACTTTTTGATGCACCCCATTTTTAACACACCTGACTCAAATGAGTGGCCACTTGCCATGCCACTGCTGGGATAAATGAGGGGATTGAGCCATTCGATTCAGGTGTCTTAGAGAAGAGATGCATCTAAAAGTTACAGGATGTTAGTTCTTGAGGACTGGACTTGAGCATCCCTGTGTTAGATATATAAAGCAATGAGAAATGTCTTAAAAATGACAGAAATCTGCAGAAGTGAGTAAAGGCTTTCATTACCTCATAAACTTCATTCCATCTCGGGTGCAGATTTTCTTTGATGGTCTTGGTTTTGAAATGTCGGTTTCCCACTCTGACCGTGGCGTAAGGGTCCGACTTGCCTTTCACTAAGCCCATCATGTAGGTGTCCTTGGCCATCAGGTCTCTGGCCTCCAACACATGGACCCGGACCACGCCCTGAAGAGGACAGCAGCTGGCAGGTTATTTGGGAATCGCTTTGTTCAAAGTGTGAGTGGCTCTTCTACATCAGACCTACCCGAGGCAGAGGAAACCTCATCTGATCAACTTTGACTTGGTCAATCAGGGGAAAACACATGCGGTTTGGCAAGACTATGATGGACGCAATGATGTCCATAATGGTATCTTCAGACAGAGAGCTGCAAAGAGGAAAGATCAGGTTAAAGAGGAAGATTAAACCTCAACAGGTTGGGGCAGGGAGGGTGTTAGGAGACTACAGTCGGACCTAAAGCCTGGACTGTCCAACAGATTGGTCATGCCGGTCCAGTTGATCTGCAGAGTCTGAGGAGAGACACAACATGAGCTCATTCATAGATCCAACCACACCTGCTACCTTATGAGTCAGATAGATGTTAGTGTGGACTTACAGGGCAGCGAATGAAAAAGAGAGTGACTCCTCCCACCAGCGGCGCCTGGCCAACCAGGGGCTCTAGAATGACTCTGAGCATTCCTTGGAACTAGAAGATATGAGCAGAGTTTACAGCAGTTGTCTACAGAAACAGCAGAGAGGGGATTCATCACCAGCGCCCCACCTGTAACCCTTTAACGCCCACAGTGATGGCTTTATTCACATCTGCATCGATGTCCACGTCACTGTCATAACTGTGGAGGAAACGGCCGCCGGTCAGTCCTCATTGAGAACAGAGCAAAGCATGTCTTAGTGTGTTCAACTGACTTTATGTTCATATCCAGGATCACCTCCCTCTGGTCCACTTCATGGGTGTACGATCTAATCCCAGTGATCTTTGGAGCCTGAAATACATTAAGAAGGAGCAGGTAGGAGGGAAGGGGGTAAGACAGAAAACTGGTAGAAGCTCACTCCAAGACATCCAAGCAACTTGGGTAATGTCTTATAAAGGCAAAGTACACCCTCCAAGTTTTAGGGTTTACGACGTGAGGAAATCTTAACATAATTCCGCTTTTATGCTCACAAGAAAGTTTTTTTCTTTTGCTTCTTTAGCTCTTTTCTGCCCTGTTGACCCTATAGCCTGGTTTGTGCTCAGAAACCAGGTCGTCAACGCAGATATGTGTTAATCTGTTGGTTTGCCCCCGAAGCCAAAACACACAGCGCCATGGCTACGGCTAACTAGCTCGTCAAACAGACACATGGACACTAGGTCCTGATTGTCCCTCTTGCGTTGTGACGTGGAATAGAACACTTCATAATTGTGCATAAATCAAAAATATCTGCGTCATACCTGTGACAGGCTAACTGTCACACACTGATGCGGGAGTATGCAAAGCCCCTAAAGTCTTAGGGAAATGGCTGTTCCAACTGTTGCATTTTCGCTGCCAGTTCTGTTAGCTCTACGCCTGCCGAAGACACAGACGTCCATCCCCGTGAACACTGTGACGGAACTCTATCGGAAGGGAAATTATTCTTATTTCTTATTTCAACCGTTGCGTATATTAGCTGCGACACATTGATATATGATTGTCCGAATTTAGATGTGCAACCTGACGTATAACTAACTGGCCTGCATAAGATAATGAAGAAAAAAAACACAGATTTTAAGACAGTATTATTTTTAAATAGAAATTTTCTAACTTTTAGGACAATATGGTCTGATAAAGAGTACATTTGTATACATGTTTAATCCAGAATGATTTGACTTTTAAATATGACTTCCCTACGACTTTAAGTACTCCACACACCTGCCTTCTTTCTGTTTCCTGTAGCAACATGGCTCCACTTCATTCCCTCTCATTTTCACACCTTTCTCTTCTTGCTACAGCAAACCATCATTTCTTTTCATGGCAAACCTCCATCTCCCTAAATCTTCCTCTATTATAAAGCCATTATAATGTTGGACAGTAGACTTATTATGGCAGAATGTGGCTGGAATTTGGAGGCCCCATATATGTTCAACATGACATTTCACAGGTTAATTTCTTCGAAATATGTAATTTAATCCATTCATTTCCATAACGCCTCCCCTGCAATTACACTAAGACCTGTACGCACCCACATTTTAGAAGTGGGGGGAGTGGCAGCCTAGTGGTTATTGCGCTTGGAATCCTGAGGTTCTGAGTTTGAACCCCACTCCCACAGATTGCCAACCTGGGTCCTGAGCAAAAGGCGCCGCTAATGGCAGCCTACTGCTCCCCAATCGGATGGGTTAAATGCAGAGTTCATTTCGTTGCTCTGTACTTGTGACAGCGTAATGACAATAAAAGGCTGGAAAACATAAAACTCTACAAAGAGTATAACCACCTCTACAAGGCAATCAGATTGCTGCACCAGACAAAACAATGTTGGGATGTAAAGAATTCAGTAATAAAAGTTTGAACTTTAGGACAGCGGCCAATTTTTCCAGGAATGGATGTCCCAAATCCACCTAATGGTCAACCAAGGCAATGCTGAAAGAAATGAGGCTTTGGTGAACACGATGTGGATGCATAAAGAGTTCTAGAAGATTCAATGGAGAGATGAGACTCTTAGGCCGTAATGATCAGCATCATTTTTAGAGAACGCCAAAAATCACCCATCAACAGAAACATCCCGTATCAACTGTCAGGCACAGTGGTGGGAGGTTGATGATATGGGCTAATTAAGCAGCAGCAGAAATCTCAACACAACAAAAAAAAAACATCTCCAGAGGAGGAACCTTGCGGGGAAAACTTAATGAAATGAAGCAACGATGGGGAAAAAAAAAAAAAGGTTCTGTGAATAAATATCTTGTTAGGGACCCTAAAACCAGAGAGGGTGCACTGGCTTTATACCTTCACTTTATGCTTTTTTTTTTTTTATTTAAAACAGAAAATCAGATGAAGAAGTAAATAAACAGCGAAACATTGAACAAACCGACTCACTTTGTGTCCAAGGTGAATCTTGGTAAAAGTGAACATTTTGAGCGCAGAGTTGCACATCCTGACCGTCTGCTGGATATTGTCTTTCAGAAGTTTCTCTATGTACATCCCAACGAAGGGCCAAGCTTGCTCCAACACCTGAACATGCAGCCAAACCCAAAAAGACAATGAATCAGCATCCTGATCAAACAGGTTCTTCTAAAATGAGCTCAACTTAAGAACCAAACACATGGTTAGAGAAACATTGTGAGTTCATTCAATTTCTGTAACAGTATAGTAAAACAGGTTAACATCTTTTTCCCCGATTAAACAAAGAGATCGGTCTAAAATGAGTGCTACCTTGTTTGCTTGTTTTTTTTTTACATTATTTATAACTGCAAGCCCACCAGGCTGGAGCTGTGGTCTGATCATCTCTGCTGCAGAGCTGTTTAAAACTGATCTTTGTAAAGTTCTCTCAAAGTATTGGTGTCTTTAATAGGAAAATATTATCCTTAAAAGTAGAGATCGATTGATGAGGTGTTTTAAAGCCAATGCTTATATTAATTATTCTAACGAGGGCTGCAACAACGAATCGATAAAAATCGACTTTTAAAAGCGTTGGCAACGAATTTCATCATCGATTAGTTGTGTCGCGCGATTAATGCGTCATCCGCTTCCGTCGTCATCACATCCACTTGACTGAAACGGGGGAAGAAAAAAAAATACGGCAGCGCCGCAGGTGCAGTGTTGCCAACTCGGCGACTTTGTCGCTATATTTAGCGACTTTTCAGACCCCTCCAGCGACTATTTTCTCAAAAAAGCGACACCCCCATCCCAACCCCGTTCTCCCGCAGGAGTCCCTATCAGCGCTGCAGTCAGAGCCGCAGGATGTTTACCCTCAGCGTCCAGACTGCAAATCAAGCGCACATGCGCCGGGATTGACGGCGCAAATTGATCACAATAATTAAAACAGCCTGCGCTTTGTAAAGCGAAAAAAGTTGTAACATGCAACTTTTGTAAAAACAAATGAACATGGCACGAAAGCACTACTGTTATGATACAGCACCTGAAAAGAAAACACGTTGGAGCCGTCGATGGCAGTGAAGAGAGCTGATCAGCAGGATGAGCGACCATGTTTGTTTCATTTTAAAGTGGGGAAACGTAACGTTAGTTTCTCAGGTAGCTCATCTGATGCTTTCCTTACCGTGTTAGTAGGTTACAGACAGTGATAAGGTTGGCTACTTATTTTACTTTTAATTTCATTTGAATTAGCTTAAGCAGCGTTTATATTTTCTTTATAAATAAATTAACTTGGAAATTATGAGGGCAAGGCTTTTAAAGTTTAAATCTTCTGGCAAAGATAAAGTAAAGAAGATCCTGCAATTTATGGAAGTAAAGCAGAATAAAATCCAGCAAGATCAGTAATATGTCAATTAATTATCTGCCACATTCCCATGTAAACATCTGTCTTTGGAGGATGTGTTTTTTAGCACCCCTAGTTCTCTCATTTTTATTCCAAATACAATTTATAATTTGAATCACAGGGCTATTTTTATCTCTATGGTTCAGTATTTTCTCAAGTAGCAACTTTAACTGCTATACTTTCCTGTCTTAAAAGGCAGAACTCTTCTAGTCTAAAAAAACTCATTTGTTGAAATGGGGGGACCTATTGTTTGAACCCCTTAGGGGCTTTTAAAAAAAAAAAGCTTTTTTTGGCACTTTATGAAACAAAGTACCCTATATTTTGTGGATGTACAGCTAAATTTCTCATGTAAGTTTGCATAGTTTTAACACAAACATTCATTTTTCATATAGCACCAGTACAGTTAATGAGCAACCTGTACTTGTGTGCTTGTTTGTTCTGTCTAAAATGTTTATTTTGGAATAAAGAGGTAATATAAAAAAATATTTTTTGTCCGATTCATCGATTAATCGAAAAAATAATCAGCCGATGAATCGATTTTTAAAATAATCGTTAGTTGCAGCCCTAATTCTAACCAATCCCTGATTTGTGCTGCTAAATTTTATTTGATTCTTAAGGCCATGATAAAATGTCACAATGATAGTAAATATTATATAAGTTATATAAAAATATAAATATTGTTTCTAATTTTTAACAGAGAAAAGCTGATTAACTATCAAACAAAAAATAATAATGCAGGAAACGCCAATGCATGGACTCAAGATATGGCTGCTGAATGTGCTAATGAATCAGCAAATGCACATATGTATCAGTAACAATAATATTGAATGAAAGTATTGGCTTACGAACGTATCCGTCTATCTCTAGGCTTCCCTAAATTCAAAAAACTTTTATAAACTTATAGATTATAAACTAAATTTGACTGGCTTTTTACAGTTCATGTAGCTGAATTTGAAATCTTATATACAGTGGGGCAAAAAAGTATTTAGTCAGCCACCAATAGTGCAAGTTCTCCCACTCAAAAAGATGAGAGAGGCCGGTAATTTTCATCATAGATATACCTCAACTATGAGAGACAAAATCGGGAAAAAAATCCAGAAAATCACATTGTCTGATTTTTAAAGAATTTATTTGCAAAATATGGTGGAAAATAAGTATTTGGTCAGTTACAAACAAGCAAGACTTCTGGCTCTCACAGACCTGTAACTTCTTCTGTAAGAGGCTCCTCTGTCCTCCACTCGTTACCTTCATTAATGGCACCTCAAACAGTCACCTCAAACAACCTCAAACAGTCACACTCTAAACTCCACCATGGCCAAAACTAGAGAGCTGTCAAAGGACACCCGAAACAAAATTATAGACCTGCACCAGGCTGGGAAGTCTGAATCTGCAATAGGTAAACAGCTTGGTGTGAAGAAATCAACTGTGGGATCAATTATTAGGAAATGGAAAACATACAAGACCACTGATAATCTTCCTCGATCTGGGGCTCCACGCAAGATCTCACCCCGTGGGGTCAAAATGATCACAAGAACGGTGAGTAAAAATCCCACAACCACACGGGGGGACCTAGTGAATGACCTGCGGAGAGCTGGGACCAAAGTAACAAAGGCTACCATCAGTAACACTACGCCGCCAGGGACTCAAATCCTGCAGTGCCAGACGTGTCCCCCTGCTTAAGCCAGTACATGTCAAGGCCCGTCTCAAGTTTGCTAGAGAGCATTTGGATGATGACTGGGAGAATATCATATGGTCAGATGAAACCAAAATAGAACTTTTTGGTAAAAACTCTACTCGTCATGTTTGGAGGAGAGAGAATGCAGAGTTGCATCCAAAGAACACCATACCTACAGTGAAGCATGGGGGTGGAAACATCATGCTTTGGGGCTGTTTTTCTGCTAAGGGACCAGGACGACTGATCCGTGTGAAGGAAAGAATGAATGGGGCCATTTATCGTCAAATTTTGAGTGCAATTCAATGCAAGGGCATTGAAGATGAAACGTGGCTGGGTCTTTCAGCCTGACAATGATCCCAAACACACCGCCCGGGTAACGAAGGAGTGGCTTCATAAGAAGCATTTCAAGGTCCTGGAGTGGCCTAGCCAGTCTCCAGATCTCAACCCCATAGAAAATCTTTGGAGGGAGTTGAAAGTCCGTGTTGCCCAGCGACAGCCCCAGAACATCACTGCTCTAGAGGAGATCTGCATGGAGGAATGGGCCAAAATACCAGCAACAGTGTGTGAAAACCTTGTGAAGACTTACAGAAAACGTTTGATCTCTGTCATTGCCAACAAAGGGTATATAACAAAGTATTGAGATGAACTTTTGTTATTGACCAAATACTTATTTTCCACCATATTTTGCAAATAAATTCTTTAAAAATCAGACAATGGGATTTTCTGGATTTTTTTTTCTCATTTTGTCTCTCATAGTTGAGGTATATCTATGATGAAAATTACCGGCCTATCTCATCTTTTTGAGTGGGAGAACTTGCACTATTGGTGGCTGACTAAATACTTTTTTGCCCCACTGTATGTTTGAAACAAAATAATAAAAACCAATAGGGCTGCGATTTTGCCGATACGATACGCAGGGGCAGATTAAGGAAATTTGGGGCCCTAGGCAAAGACAGGCATGGGGCCCCTGAATTAAGAATTAAGAAGACAACACATAAACCAGACCATTATACAGATACAGAAATTTTAATAGAATAGACATCCATTATTTGTTCTAGGTTTTGTCTCCTGTTGTTTTCCTCTCTATGTTTTGCACTCAGCTGACTTTTCATGCTGTCTCTAAAGGAATGAAAGATTCTTTCCAAGCACTAAGCTCACTTAGCTGACTTCCTGTGTTTCCAAAAAGGCTAAAGTAAATAATCCAGTCCTTCTTTTCACTGTAGACAAGCCGTGATCTGCTTATCTGTTCTCCATTTTTCATTTGGATGAAATAATAGCTGCATGAATCATGACAGCAGACAAGATAGAGGAGAGCAGGAGGTGGGGTTACCAATCTACTTGCTCTGGAGAGCAGAATTCGCTGCTTTTAGATGTTGTCTCCCAAGACTCCAGTAGCAGAAAAAAGTCGCTAGATTTGGCACTAGGTGCTTTTTGAAATAAAAGTGCAAGAGGGGTCTGAAAAGCGCTAAGTTGGCAACACAGCTCTTCGCACTTTTTGTTTTCAAATGGTTTGCTGCTGTCTGTTTGGACCTTTCTGAACATGACAGACACAGTACATGTTCAGCACAGTTGTTGAGACACACTTAATATTATAAGCGTTCTGATGAGATTTTGACAAAAGGATTTTTATCAAAAACATAAATAATGTGCACAAATAAGGAATAGTTATATTAACTATACATGTAAACAGTTTTACAGGGCCCCCAGGAACTTGGGGCTCTAAGCATCTGCCTAGTATTGCCTAATGGTAAATCCGCCCCTGACGATACGTATCACATAAGATTTATGCCGATATATGTCTAGATACATTACCAAAGACATTTTATTCCAATTATTTATAATAATGCATCTCTTAAAAACCTCATAAGATCTCTTGTTGCTCTGCTGCGGTGGTGCAGAGCAGCTAAATAATGGGCACTTGGGCACTGTGTTGCCATCTATTGACTGGAAGTTTAAAATATATATATATCCTCTAATAAATTAAATATCATCTGATGAAATATCACAATATTTGACTAAATAAACCCTTTCTTAATATGGCTGAAGCTAAATTGGCACAACTAATTTCTAAAAATAATGTTAAAGTAAACTGTAAAGGCAAAGATGAATCAGTTACAATTGGTAACAAAACAGTTACAGGTTTATCTGGCAGTGCATCCCATCAATATGAATTGATTTAGCATGATGTTTTCTGTACAGGGGCCAATGACAAGTTCTAAAAGGACACTGGCCCCTTAAGGCCCCTGTCTAGAACCGCACATGATTGAAGAAAAACAATTTGATTGAGACTGTACCTTGTTCACCCAATTAGCCTTCTCAACATCTGTGAAATGCACCTTTGGAAGAAACAAAGAGTTAGAAAGTTATATTAAAAATCATAACCTGCAAGTAAAACTGTCAAAATTAAAAACACTGCATGCATGATGAGGAAGCTACGGAAGAGGATTAGGGCCACTAATTTTTATTTCTAAATTTTATTTCAATTTAACATGGGAAAAAAGTCAGAATTCTGACTTTAATCTCAGAATTCTGACTAAATTCTGACAATAAAAAAGTCAGATTTCTGAGATTAAAGTCGGAATTCTGAGAAAAAGTCAGAATTCTGAGATTAAAGTCGGAATTCTGAGAAAAAGTCAGAATTCTGAGATTAAAGTCAGAATTCTAAGAAAAAAGTCAGAATTCTAAGAAAAAAGTCAGAATTCTAAGAAAAAAGTCAGAATTCTGACTTTTTCCCCATATTAAACTGATATAAAATTAAAAAATCAGTTAACTTTTTTTTTTTTTCCACTGGCCCTAATCCTCTTCCGTAGGAAGCAATGCTGGATTAAACCAAATAAATGTACGGATAGGAGCAGATAAAAAGGAAAATCTCTGTTAAGATAAATGTCCCAGATTTAAATTAAACTCATGACTCTCCACTCCAGATACTTCAGATTCTTTCATATTGAAGAAGAAGTGATTTCAGGTTTAAGGGTTTATAAGTCTCTTTGCAACATGAACACTGCAAACTAGAAAAGAGGTTTGGGATCATGTTCTGAAGCACAGCTGGAATGGGATCTACCCCTCTGACTAAAGTCCCCCCAAATTAAACCTGAATTCTGCAGGTCATCATCCTGTTGATGATTTTATTCTGCTACAATCAGAATATTGCAACCCACCAATAACAGCCAACAATGATAACACACATTCCTCTCACATTACAGCAAGTTTTTCTCTTCTCAAGTTACATGAGTCACTGCGTTTCTGGGTGTGGTGCAGTTAAATGTGCAGAGCTACAGGTCTGCTGCTGCAAACCTGGGCAACAAAAGGTGGGAGGGTCCGGCCCACTCTGGATGGTCATGCAAATTTGGAACAATGACACATTCATGGAGACCAAAGCTTGATGTTTGGGATGTTTTATAAAACTTTGCGCCAAACATGGCTGCCAACTTAGAGCAAAAGTGTGGAAGAAACATCATTCCTGACATTCTGGAAGTCTGGAATGTTGCTCCCAGCCAGGAAAGTTTCATCCATCTGCTGCTGACCCACACCAAAGCAAAGCCCCCCCAACATAAACACAGACATACCCAAGAAGCCATCTGTAAGGAACCCTTCAGCTCGGTGTTGATAATATGCTTCTCGTTGTCCACCAAATCCAAAGCGCCTCCGATCTGGACGTCCTTCCACTGCCGGTTCTTCTGCCACCAGGTGAACATGAACATGCAGAGCAGGACCCAGCTGATGCTGAAGCCCAGGTACCCGGTCAGGTAGACCGGGTAGAAGACCACCACAGCCCGGCCGAAGTAGATCAGGAACTCCATCAGAAAGCGGTTCACCGCGGATGGGCTCAGACGCTCAGTGCTGCCCGGGATAAAGCGGCTCTCCTGCGCGCCTGGATGCGTCTGTGCGGCGGATGCCATTTCAGCCACGTCCCGCTGAGCGGCTCTCTGCTCCAGAGGAAGCGCTCAGGCTGGAATCCTGAACAGATTTACGCGCTGGGTCTTATTCTGGATGACAGCGTGAAGTGTTGCCACAGGAGATCCACCCTCAGCCTGAAAACTTCCGTGTTTTTAACTGACGAAAAGCAGGTAGACACACCTTCGGCCAGACACACCTTCTGCCAGGGCTGGAAGAACCGGATTCCATTAAAAAAAGAAAAAAGGTTTAAATAACTTTGTTTAATCAAATTTATTTATTGTATTAAAACATATTTTTTTTGTTTCAGAAAAAAAATATTAATGTGAATCTGGTCTGAAAATGAGATGATTTGAGACCAAATAAAATATTTATTAAAAAGAGGTTATGCAATAACAACAGGTGTCCTGCAGGTGGTGACAAAGAGATATAACTAGTGTAAGGCAAGGCAAGGCAAGGCAAATTTATTTGTATAGCACAATTCAGTACAAAGACAATGCAAAGTGCTTAACATGATTGAAATACAGGAAGATAAAACAGAATCAAAGCAAGTAGCAAAAAAAATAAAGAAAATAAAATAAAAAATGCAGAAACAAAAAAAGAATAGTTGGATTAAAGAAAATATGTTTTAGTTGAACTATTTAACTAGAACAGTCAAAGGCAATCCTAAACAAATGTGTTTTTAGTCTTGATTTAAAGGAACTCAGGCTTTCCGCACTTTTACAGTTTTCTGTAGCACGCTCTTTATGAATGAGTCCCACTTAAAATGAAATATGCTGTTTAATATAAAGTTTAACCCGTATAAAGTTTACAAAATTAACTCAAGAACATGAAAAAAAAAGTAGCGCTACAAGAAATGTTGAAAGCAGGAGTAGAAAAGTTGTTTATTTTTGGTAAAAAGGCTTTTCAAGGTGGTTACTAACTGCTTGATCATAACATCTGATTTGATATTAAAGATTTATCTAATTAGACAGAAAGGTATGTACAAATTCCTGTTTTTTAAAAACTGGAATAATACATAAAATGCAAACACATCATCAAACAAAAAATAAAAATATGTAGCAAACAATGCTTGTGAACCAACAAAAAGTCTAACATAAACATAAGCTTGTTTATCTTTCAGTGAGGTTACCCATAATGCACAGTAGACAGTTTCTATTAAATAAGAGTACCAAAACTTTACAATAATATTACTGATGTAAAAGTAAAATCTAGGGTGCAGTAAAAAAAATACTAATGTCTGGAGTTTTGAGCATATTTTGCATTCTGTTTATGGAATTTGTATTTGCTATCAATTCGGTAAATGTTTCATAATTCATAGCCTATCTGTAATAGACAACAATGTTTGGGCTGCGTAAGCTTAGCACTTTTATATTTAATATGTACATTTTTAGGTTTATTATTAATTGGACACTTTATTATTTAATGTATTTTAATAATTGAATTAGTGGCTGGACTATATTCATGTAAAGTACTTTGAATTGTCTTCTAAGGAACTGCTCTTTATAATTGCTTCTTTTGTATGTAGTTGGGTTTCAGTGTGATTTTATCTCCACCTGAATATAATTAGTCATATGATTTTTAGTATAGTCTCTTGTTCTGTTTCTGTCCCTTTGTTTTTAACAGCTAAATCAAAGGTGAGAACAGAACAAGACAACAACTGGAGATTCACATTAAGAAACATTCTACTAAACTATGCCACTAAAAAACATACATTGGGTGTAATACAGACTATAATCTAACTGATTGAAATCACGTGTTAATAATAAGCAACCAAAGCCATTATGGAGATATTCAGATACTGAAAACTGTAACATAACAAGTAGCTAACGGTGTCATGAACCGAGGACAGATGGACCCAGTATTCAATGAGAGACAGTCCAGTCCAAGAATGTCCCCAAGTGCTGCAGTTCCAGAGGACATGCTGGAAGCTGATCCTGGTCAGGGATCCAGAACAGACAGGAACAGGCAGGAACAGGATCCAGATCAGGCAGGAACAGAAACAGGTGGCAGGATCCAGACTTCCAGGCATCCACAGGCTCCCAGGAGGGTTCAGAGTCTGACTGGGACCAGAAGCATGACCAGGTGGCACGCACAGCAGGAGACAGGATCAGGTGCAGATGAGCAGGCTCAGTGGAAGAGGGTAGCCGAGACAGGATGTGGAACCGGAACTTGATGCAGGACTTTAAACTGGTCTCCTCCCTGGAGCCAGGCTTACTGGATAAAAACTGAACCTCCCCACATATACAGCCAAAAACCCAGAGGACTCCGTGGGGGAGGAACAGTGGACGATCAGGAGACGAGACAAACACAAAAACCCTCTTTCCACTGGCAGCTAGGATCCAGGACATGAACCATGGCAAAAACTGAACGGACAGACTAACAAAAAGACAAGTAATGATCTGGACCTGAATGCTCAGGCTGAACTGAATATAAACCAGAGGAAACAGGTGAGAGGAATAAATTATAATTGAGGCAGGGAGGGAAAACGACAGGTGAAAGGAATTACTAATTAAGGGAGAGCAAACAGGCCAGATCATGACAAACGGATGATCTATCTATCAATCTATCTATCAATTACCCCAGAAATTAAACACAAAGGTTTTTGAACTATATTTTTAAAAAGTAACATTTCAGAATTAAATATTTTCCAGTCATTAGCATTTGCATAGTCCAGCCAAAAACAATATAGTTGCCTGTTACAATAGAAATAAACATTTTTAGATCAAAGGCCAACAATGACATTCATTCCAAAACTACTGGTAAATGATTCCTCTGTCATTTAACAAATAATTCAACAAACAGTCTTATAAACATATTGAGTTCTCATTTAATTTTTAACGTATTTTTGATGATTTTGCATCTCTTCCATGATATGGTGGAGTGGAAATATATCCTGTCCAAATTCTGAAAATGTCATGTGCCAGTGCCACCTTCTGGTATGTTTGTCCTTTACTCTGTTCTCCTCGGAACCTTAAAAGTTTACTGCGCCCTTTTTCATTTAGTTCTTCCTTTAGTCTGTGATCCAGCAGCAGGTCCAGTTTCTCAGATTGAAAAACAGCCTTTTCAGATTTAGTCAGTTTTCATCTTTCACAAAACAACAGTTTTTCAAAAGGAACCAATTAAATATTGCTACATATTATTGCAGGGAGTTTCGATATCTTATGGTAGGAAAATTGAATTTTTATTGATAAAAAAAAAAGGATTAGTTAGAGAATCAAAAATGAGCTGATTTTCTTTGTTTCATCTTAACCTTTGCATATTGTGACTCTAGGAGGCACTGTTTGCTTTGTACACTTGACTTGACCTCATGGAGTCTGCTGTTCAAAGGCTTTAACCCTTTAAAGCTACGTGTATCCTATTTGATACATTTCTGAGACTTCTGCATCATCAGTGTGATATTTTTTTCTTGAAAACCCTAACTTACACAATCAGACACATGTAGTGAAAGCAAGTAAAAGATTTTACAGAAATGCAAATGTATCAAACTTGATGCAAATAAATAATTTAAACACATAGAAAAGTTTGTCTTTTATACCATTTGTCAGAAAGTTCATAGACTAATTTAAAAAGACTGGGATTTTCTGTCAATTATTTCATGGTCCAGAGGGTTAAGCTGATGTATATAGTGTGGGTTTTTATTCAGCCACTTTGATTCTCTAATGTTTAGGAGACACTTTGTGCTTGATTCACATCTGCAAGGCTACTTGGGAACGTTGCCATCAGCCTTGAACATCTACGACCTGAAAATTCTGGCAAGTGCTGAAAGTTTCTAACTCAAATTAGCCAACAGACTGTGTTTGAGCTGAGAGTGTCTGTCTGATTTTTTTCCAATTTTGCTGCAGATTCTCAGTCGTGTTTAGGTCTGGCTTTTGACTAAGACATTATAACTCCATATGCTTCTATCTTAACTACTGATTTTTAGTTCAAGGTTTAAAGGAAATGTCCGGTCAAATTAAAAATTCAAACTTCTGAAAGTACTTTAAATATAAAATTATTACATACTGTTCAATAAGTGATAATTCATAGTAATTTTCATTTGAATGTGCTTTACTGGAGGCATCCATGTTTGTCAAAGAACACTACTGCCACCTACTGGTTTGTGACGTCACGGTGCGGTATCGGCTGTTGATCAAGTCCCAGTGCTGTATCTGGTGTTTGTCACAACGCGCTATTATCCAAGTCATCTTGAAAAACAACATTAAGTTGGCTACATATTACCTGTTTTTTTCTCTGGCCAGAAGTTCGATGGCAAATCCTCCCTCTTCAAGTTAGCGATCCAACAACGAACCCGTCCGTGGAGGATCAAGAAAGGTGAAATAACATTTTTTTTTCACTTTTACCCGATGTATTTCAACATCCAGCTGCCATGCACGTGGGCATTGTCAGTTTCACTATAGCTCTGGTGAATTTAAATGGTGAAGTCCTCTGGAAATCTTCAATAATTGTTGTTGATTGCAGATGTGTCTAGTAGTTCCCATTGATTTTGCTTGTGAAGCAGGAAGAATGCCGCTAGGCTTACCGCACCGTGACGTCACAGCTGGAAGATGTCAGCCGCTCCCAGTGATTGCAACGAAAATTATTATTATTTTTTTACTGATTGACGCTAAATTAATTAAATCACAGAAAACATATTAGTTTTAGATATAAATAATGATTCATTGATTATTCTTTGCTGACCAGACTTCTCCTTTAAGCTTTGGGTCTTGGCCCAGCCCAAAACCTCCAACTCAATCTCGCCTCTTCTAGTTTTTCTTCTAGGGCTTCCATAAATCTAGCTCCATCCATTACAAATCAACACTAATTATTTTGATCAATAAAGCCCATTAGATTTAGAAAAACCCTGAGCACAAGAAAGAAAAATGCTGGCAACAATATCATAACAAGAACCAACAGAAGGATCTAAATGAAAAGTCTGAGAAAGTGATAAATATTCTTATGCTGCAACAGCTTGATGAGGAACCGGTTATTAAATAACTCCCTGCAGCTGTTTGAGGCGTTTAAATCAGTACATCTTTTTGGCGCAGTACAAAAAATTACTAAACACAAAATAATGCACAGTAAGCACAGCAGTCCAAACTAGACCAAGTAAAATGTATTTATTTCAATTCAATTCAATTCAATTCAGTTTATTTATATAGCGCCAAATTCACAACACA